TTTCATTTGTTTATGCGACAAACTTTTATATTTTTCATGTTGGCATCTCTTTCATGATTTTTGTTGTACTATGGATACTGATGTTGAAGGTATGTAACTTGATGTTTGAAGGATGAAGTGCTGAAGATTGTGAAGCCCCAACATTTTGTTCCCATACATGGAGAACTCTTGTTTTTGAAGGAACATGAATTGCTTGGCAAATCAACGGGTATACGGCACACAACTGTAAGTCCCAAGATGATTGGTTGTGGTATAGTAGGTTGTGCCATTGTAAATTTCTGCTATATTGGGGGTTTTTTCTCTTAATTAAATCCTTTTTTATGTATAAAAAAATGGTTCAGACACCTATTTCTGCTAAATGTTGGTCTGATGGTTCTTGATGCTCTTTCTTGTCCTAGCTGGTTGCTTTAGAATAATAACTTGTGCCACACAAGTAAGTTGAGTTCTGAATGTAAACTGTTGCCTTTTTTTGCTTGAATTTATCTCATATGTGGGATAGATGGTTGGACACTATCGTTGATGCTCTGGTGATTAGGATAGATAGAGAGGCTGCAACTGAACAAATGCATTTTGTTTCTAACCTTTATCACTGCCTTTGTGTCTACCATGGAATTCGCTTTTACTATTGCCAGGAAACTATCATATTATATCACTTTCCTTGATTTCACATTATGTCCAATTGATTTAATTTGGTCCTAGAAGAAATAGATAGGTCCGTCTTGTCTATCATTTAGTTAGTGATAAGATAATGTGATCATGCAGGGGGCTGTTTTCTGGCTCCCTTTTCCTCCATTCTATCAGGTAGTTCAGGACTTAGAAGTCATAAACTGTCTACTTGGTTCACATCATCTGTACCGAGTATATTAATTATTCCTGGCATTTTTTTACTGCAGCAGCATGAATAAGCGAGTCTGGATCTCATGTCAGAGTCAGTTGTTTTTCATCTTGGCTGCTACTTAGTGAAAATTACTCCCGCTACTTAGTGAAAATAATTCTTGATGTTTTCCTTTGTTTTTTGCTTTTCCTTTCCTTATTTCTTTCCTTGTACATTTCTGATGTGCTTGAATTTCATATTTTAGTAAAATCATTTTTCAACTATAAAAAAAAGTCGACTGTTCGCTTGAGACAGAGTCAGAGGTGCATGGGAGCATGTGTGTCTTGTCAATCTTGTAGGAAATTTAACTCCATTGCGTTGAGAGTGCTTGGCAAGATATCACTTCATACATGCTAAAGAGAATGATAGTGTGCCCCCACTGGGAATGGTTTATCCCCTGCCTTTACTTCCATGTGTCGGTTTGAGATTAATTCGTAGGTCATGTTATCCTTTTGTATGACTATGACTTCTTTTGGAAGTACTTCATTAGATTTTCTCTATATTTGGATTATTATGTGGTGTTAAAATACTCTGACTGTTATCAGGTCATAAAAAATGGAGAGATGCTGGGGGTTTCTCATTTGAGGAACAGAAGAGTCCTGTCTAATGGTTTTATCTCCCTTGGGAAGGAGAATTTACAGGTTGGTGTCTCTAAAATGCTTGAATGTCTGAAAGAAATCAATAGAGTTCATCTAATTAATCTGTGGTCTATATTTTAGTTGATGTACAGTGATGGTGATAAAGCATTTGGTACATCAACTGAGCTTTGCGTAGACGAGAGACTAAGGATTGCTTCTGATGGCATTGTTGTGGTCAGGTAGGCTGGCAAGTACTTTTTTAATGTCAAGCAATTTTGTTCTTTTGATGCACTTGGTTCCTGATGGTCCTTTTCTTGCAGCATGGAAATTCTGAGGCCTCAGAATGTAGATGGTGTTGTGGAAGGCAGTTTAAAAGGAAAGATACGAATTACTACTCGTTGCTTGTGGCTTGACAAGGGGAAGCTATTGGATGCGCTTCATAAAGCTGCCCATGCTGCGCTTTCTAGCTGTCCTGTTAACTGTCCCCTGGCCCACATGGAAAGAACTGTATCTGAAGTTCTGAGGAAGATGGTACGAAAATACAGTAGTAAAAGGCCCGAAGTGATTGCCATTGCTGTAGAAAATCCAGATGCAGTCCTCTCTCAGGAGATTGATAATAGGTTATCTGGAAAGTCACATGTCACCTTTGGGATATCTGCACTTAAGAAAATGGTTGGCGGTAGTCCGAATAAAACAAAATCAAGCAAGAGGCAAGTGGAAGATGGCAATGGCGACTATTATTCAGAGAAATATTCAGAGCGGACTTCTCAAGGTTTGTCTCTCCGTCTTTTGTGCTATATGTCATGTATGTGACTATATAATCTATGGATCATTCTCTGTGGAAGCTTCTAGAAATCAGGTGAAATTAATAATCGACTTTGAAAAGAAAGATATTAATTCCCTCTGCTTAATTTTCCTTTTCTTTTTTTTGGGTTATTTTACTTCTGTTCATTTTATCTTGTTCATGACAGCTTTGAGAGTGATCTGGAGTAGAGATTGGCTAGTCGCTTGGAAGGTTGGAGCTGGGGGAAAGGTGGAGGGTTTCCAAACCCCTCACTAATAATTTGAAGTGGCAAATAAATAAAGTAAAGTAAACTGTCATAAAAATTGAACAACTATGAACAAATAGTAAAAGGAAAGTTGAAAAGTTTGCTAAAATATTGTCCTTACAAAAGGGTGTACTCATTTCCAAACTGAGTATATGCATGTTTATATGCTGAGCTAATTAAATTTTGCAATCTGTGCTTTGCATATCAACCTATTGTTATAATCAACAGCTGTATAGATTCTCGCTGTGGTGGATTGATACTTTTTTTTTTTGTGATCGTTTGCTTTAGATAAGTTTTATAGATTCTCTTTTTGGCATGGTGTATTTGCAATCATGCATCTGAATTTAATGCCATGGCGAACATGTATGTCCTATCTGTTAAAATTTGATTTTACTTCGAAACAATTCTTGATCCAGGTGAGGAAATTGACGACAAAATGTTTTTGCCTGAGGAAAACACTCCCACTACAAGTTCAGACTTATCAGAAACACAAACTGTGTCTTCCAGTTCTGATGACTCAGATGATTTTTGGAAATCGTGTCTTACTTCATCTCCTGTGGATAAATTGGCAAGAGATGTCAACGGTTCCTCCCAAATAGATGACGCTGAGTTGGAGTCCACAGAAGATGGAACTGAGAGTAACGGTGAGGACTCCTTGGAAATGTCGACTACTCAGGCAAAACCTTTCAAGCCTCTGAAAAGGAACAAATGGAAACCTGAGGAGATTAAGAAGTTGATTAAATCGCGTGGACAGTTGCACAGTAAATTTCAAGTTGTGAAGGGCAGAATGGCCCTCTGGAAGGAGATATCGACTAACTTATTAGGAGATGGGATTACCCGTAGTCCAGCACAGTGCAAATCTCTATGGGCCTCTTTAGTTCAGAAATACGAGGTTGGTTCTCTTTTGCATCTTGTCTTTCTGTGTAGTTAAAATTCTTGGCCAAAACATTCGAGTCGTTCTACAAATTGCTGCATTATTTGAACTTAAAAGTATTTCTGCACACACTTTAAGTTCCTATATGTTTGTTTCTTCTCCTTGTTTCTGGCAGTTTTTAATGCAAGGTTGTATCACCTTGGCTTTGGTTTTCCTTTGGATGATGCATTTGGTACTATCTATAGGTTATTGGTTTCAGGATCCTGTAAGTTGTGTCAAATTAAGCCTTTTAGCTGAAACACTTTCTGTCTGATATATTATCTACCCAATTCAAACGAGATTATGATTAGAAGAATGGTATTTTTATCGTCCATTTGAAAAATCAGCTCCTGTCTGACAAGGACAGATGGGCCCAGAACTGGAGAAAAGTGGATTGAACTGATTTGTGTTGGTTGCATGCTCATTGGAATTTGGTTGGGTTCACTAATCATGATTTGCACGGACTTGCTCCTTCATCTTTGTTTGATCTTATACCAAATTTATAACTGGGTTATTTTCTGCACTCTTGACATGAAATCTGTTGACGACTCTGCTTTCCAGTTCTTACGCTTGTGCAATGCTCTTTTTTCTCAAACAGGAAAGCAAAAGTGGGGATAGAAGCAGAAAAAGTTGGCCATACTTTGAGGAGATGGATGAAATTTTATCTGATGTCGAGGCAACAGCATCAAAATGATTGTTTCGTCGTTGCTTTTTTGAGATGAGAAACTACAAGCACCGAGAAAAGCCCCTCGGCGGTGAGATTTCTGTGCACAAGCTTGGGCAAAGAGATTACCGATGGAGATGACCTAAGCTATGATTTGGTGCACATATCATGATTTCATGCTCCTGCCATCAGGTGCAGGAGGTTTTGAGTAATTTTGTTGGGATCAGATAGAGGATATCCATGGTTTTGTTATCTATTATAGGGCTTCAATGAATTGGATGGTGATATATTTACAAGTGAATTCACTTGTTCAATCTCCATCTCTCCTTCTTTCTTCCCCTTTTCTTATGTAAAAGGGTGGTGTAGAAATCTTTACCTTATAAATGGTATCTGGGACTGGGATTCGTGAAAGCTTTGGGGAGCTTTGTGGAGAAAAGCATCTGATGATGAAAATGCATTCTTTAAGGTAATTGAAGACAATAATGGAAATCAAGTTACCCCGAGGTGTAAATACTAACAAGAAGCAAAGGCTGGCCTCAGTTCCTATCCCAACTGAGATTTTGTACATAATCGAATTTTTTGCTATTATGATTACTCCGTAACGATATATTTATGTAGATTTCCAAAGCACGACAGAAATTTTCAATTTTTGGACACGACAAAAGAAAAGAATAAACAACTTTTGGAATAGAGGGACGATTACAAAGGAATTGATTTTCATGGAATGTTCGATCCGAAAAAATACGCAATCCCATGCGTTTTTGTGGACCCCGCGACGAAGTTTCGCATAATCAAAAGTCGGAATAAACAAACAACAGTCCCACGCGCAAAACGACATACGGAAAGCCTTTTGTTGTTCTAGACGGTTGAAAAACTGAAGCCTTTGTTTTGCTGCTCGTTCAATATCGTCGTTACCTTTGTCAAACTTTGCCTCCTCCGCGCAGCAGTAATTCTCTCTCTCTCTCTCTCTCTCTCTCTGGATCTCTCTCGACTTGTTTTTAAGGGAAAACTCAGAGCAGCTTCTACGCTCTGTCCTGCGTACCATCTCTTGCATGCCTCACGCGGTACTCATACTACTTATATAAACTTCCTACTTTGGTCATGCAAAACCCATCTCTTCCTTCGTATCTCTCTTCTGCAATTTCTCTGTCTTCTTTAGCTACAGCCGAGTAAGGACTCTCGCTTTTCGGTGTGTACGTAATAACATGGTGAGACTGGCGGATCAATATGAGCGTGCGTTCCGGTGCTTTGATGAGGATGGAGACGGCAAGCTTTCGCCTTCGGAGCTGAGGCAGCACGTGCGCTTGATGGGTGGAGAGCTGCTCCTGAAAGAAGCGGAGGTTGCGGTCGAGTCGCTGGACTCGGATGGTGACGGCCTCTTGTGCTTGGAGGACTTCATCGGGTTCATGGAAGGTGGCGGCGAGGAAGAGAAGATGGGCGACTTGCGAGAGGCTTTCGGGATGTACGTGATGGACGGGTGCGGGTTCATCACGCCGAAGAGCCTCAAGACGATGCTCTCTAGGCTGGGGCAATCCAAGAGCGTGGATGAGTGCGAGGCCATGATAGGTCACTTCGATCTCGATGGAGATGGTTTGATCAGCTTCGATGAATTTAAGGTCATGATGATGTAGAGATTTCATTGTACATAAAATTGAATTATTGTTTGATTTCATATGGACCATTCCTTCTTACTGAGTTGTTCTTCTTGCTTCACTTGAATGAGTTTCCCCTGTACTTCAGTTCTCTCAACTTGCTGACTTCCCACCATCGGAACATCTAATTTGACAACTCGTAAAAAACTGTCATCAGGTTAAGGGAGTGGGTTCCCACCTTGGATTGTCTTGTTCGATAGCTAGTCAATTACCGGTGCAAAATATACCGTTGGACAGGATTTCGTTTTAAACTATCATTTGAAATTTAGGTAAAATTGAATTAAAAAGTCAATCCCAAAAGCTTATTGTCTAGCGATGTGGATATTTCAATACCTGCTCTCACGTGCAAATCAGATTAGGAGTGACATGTGAAATTTGACTAACGGGGGGTTGGACGCCGACGTGAAAGAGGTAGAACCTATTACCAAGTTGAGAATTATAATGAAAGAGGGAAAAGTGTTATGTTCTCTGCATTCCCAAATGAAAAGTATAAGAGTCCTATATAGAAAGAGAATGCAATGCGACTTAATTACAATTATAATTCTAAATATATCTCTAACCACCCCCTCAAATTCAATGTGACTTAAATGAAGTCAAATGGAGTTTGGAGAAAAGATCCAAAAAACGCCCAAGCGGAAGTATTTTGGTGAAGACATAAGCAGTTTGATCAGCATATATGATACAGTGGATACAAGTCGAACAGTGCTATGAATAACGTGGTATCAGATAAAATTATAGTCGATTTCAATATGCTTAATGTGTTTATGAAAACATTATTATGTGCTATGGGATATCAATTTAGTTGTCACACTACGATGGACTCCTATGTGTTCCAGCAGTCATTGCATCCATAATAACTAAGTTGTTGTATCAGCAACAGCTCGATGTTCTACTTCTGCACTCGAGAAGCTGAACATCGAGCGAGCAACAATGGTTTGTTTCTTACTTGGCGAAAAGAAACAATAGCCCATAGTGGAGAGACGATCTTGAGAGTTACAACCTAGTCAGCATCAAAACAAGCTGTCAACTCTCAGATAAAATAAGCAAAAAAGTGAAGGCCATGAAATAATGTACTCTTGACATGGCGATGAATTCGAAGGATTGCAACAAAATGAGTTGTGTGGGTCGCAATCATAGAACTAATAATATGAATGGGTAATGTCACGTTGTGTAGCAGTGAGATTTGTAAAACTGCTAACCTGTTGTTGATAGAGTGTATGATTCGAAGAAGAGTCACGTCTTTGGCATCAAATTTGGCATTAGTCTTAATAGAAGTTGTAGCAACCTTGTTCTTAGTAAGTCCTGCTCGAGAAAGAAGATTAGTGGTATATTTGGCTTGAGAAAGATAATAACTAGAAGAATCTAAAGTTCCCTCCAAGCTTGCAAAATAGCTGAGTTGCCTAAGATCTTTCATTTCAAATCATTGACTATTATATTGCTAGAGTTTTAAAATGCCAGTACGATCATCACCAGTAATAACCAAGTAACTTATAATAGCAGCATAATAGACTCATGAGATGTGTGTCCAATAAAAAGAGCATAGTCATAGGGATTAATTTTAAACAAGGGGATTCCATTGCCAAGCTAAAGTTGGAATACCATGCACGAGGTCCTGTTTCAATCCTATAATACTCGACGTAATCAACACACTGCTTTAGAAGGATGAGTGTATATAGAAGGAGGCACCATATGGACTTCCCTAGTGAGATCGCCATTTATGAATGCATTTTTAACCTCCATTTGGAACTAAAACCAATCTTTAACAGTAGCAACATCTTGAAGATTGCGAACATAAATAAGACATGCAACTAAAGCGAAAGTCTCTTCATAGTCAATGCTGAATTCCTAAGTAAATTCATTCGCTACTAGCCAACTTTTATAGCGGTCCGTAGTACCATATGCCTTTAATTTAATTTTTACAACTTAAGATAGACTTACCAGGAGTCATATGAACCAAATCTCATGTATGAGATTTGTCTAAAGCCTGCAACTAATCTGTTATTACTTGCTGCCAAAGAGGATTACTGCTAGCTGCTCTATATGTGGCATGACGAGACATGTGAAGACGATTAGAAATAAGATACTAACATATATCGATCACATTTGCATGCAAAAGGGCGGGGACCAACTCTTAACTTATATTATAATATCTAAGACTTGGGATTCATGAAAGCTTTGTGGAGAAGACATCAGATGACGATAATGCATTCTTAAGGTAATTGAAGACAATATGGGATTAAGTTACACCGAGGTGTAAATACTAACAAGAAGCAAAGGCAGGTCTTACTTCCTCTCCAATTGAGATTTTGTACACAATCGAATTCAAGATACATTAGGTGTCTTCGCCCGCGCGTTTTGCGTATGTTAGCCGGAGTGAAATATGTTTTTCATAGTCATTTATCATATTTTAGTCCGCAATATGTATTTGATGCGTTTCCTTTTGGATGGCGCAAGTTGAGAGTGGTTGCAAATGTTTTCTCCCCTTAAGATAGAATTAACACAATCCAAGTAAAATCTGACCTTGTCAAACGCGAGAGTTATCATATTACTATATGTACTTTCCTATAGTATAGTCAACAGGTTTTGGTACTTCAAAGACGAAGTAGATATGTTAGAGGACAAACGTAAGAGAACAGTTAGATATAAAATATGATTGATGTCTGAATTCATAATTATTACTATATAAATCTCGATTTTTAAGGAGCATATTACGGGATTTTAAAGTTCTGTATCACCATATTATAAGTGAAAACAGCCAAAAAAAAAGAAAAGAGTTTGTCGGTATGACTACTCCGTAATGATGTATTTATTTGGATTTCCAAAGGGGATAGAAATTTCCCATTTTCGACGTCAAAAAAAGAAGGAATAAACAACTCTAATGGTACAGAGGGAAGAATAGAAAGTAAGTTGATCTCATCTGACTGTTCGCATCCAATCAAATATTTTCCTCCCACACGTGTTGTGCGGACCCCGCGAGGAAGTTTCGCTTAAATCAAAGTGGAAACAAACAAACAATCCACACGTCGAGGGTTGAAATTCCAAGCCTGGTACGTGTTTTGCTGCCAAATGATATACCCCGTCGCCGCCTTGTCAAACTTGCGTCCCGCGCAGTAATCTAGTCTTTCCTTCTTCTTCTCTCTCTCTTGACTTGTTTTTAAGGGAAATCTCAGAGCAACTTCTACGCTCTATCCCCGTTGCTCTCTCTTCGATGCCTCACGCGGTACACATACTTTGCATATATACTCCATACTCGATCATGCAAACCCATCTCTTCCTTCGTATCTCTTTTCTGTAATTTCTCTGTCTTTCTTAGTTTTAGCTACGTACTCTCGCTTTTCGGTGTACGTCATAACATGGTGAGGCTAGCTGAACAATACGAGCATGTGTTCCGATGCTTCGACGAGGATGGAGATGGTAAGCTTTCGCCTTCGGAGCTGAGAAAACGCGTGGGGTTGACAGGCGGAGAGCTTCTCCTGAAAGAAGCGGAGGTCGCGGTCGAGTCGCTGGACTCGGATGGTGACGGCCTCCTGTGCTTGGAGGACTTCATCGGGTTCATGGAAGGCGGGGGCGAGGAAGATAAGATGGGCGACTTGCGAGAGGCTTTCGGGATGTATGTGACGGACGGGTGCGGGTTCATCACGCCGAAGAGCCTCAAGAGGATGCTCTCTAGGCTGGGGCAATCCAAGAGCGTGGATGAGTGCGAGGCCATGATAGGTCATTTCGATCTCGATGGAGATGGTGTGATCAGCTTCGATGAATTTAAGGTTATGATGATGTAGAGATTTCATTGTACATAAGATTGAATTAGTGTTTGCTCTCATATGGACCATTCGTTCTTACAGAGTTTTTCTTCTTGCTTCATTTCAATGAGTTTCTCCTACAGTTCAGTTCAGACAATTTGCCACCTGCCCATTATCTGAACAACTAATTTGACATCTCGTCAAGAGCTGTTTTATCAGGTTTAGGGAGTGGGTTCCCACCTTGGATTGTCTTGTCCGACCGTTAGTCAATTACCGGTGCAAAATGTACTCGTCGAGCAGGATTTTGTTTTAAATTAACATTTGAAATTTAGGATAACTTGAGTTATAAAATCCAACCCATAAGTCTAAACTAATAGCTAAAGAGAGACCATATGTATAAAGAGCATATAAACCTCAGTGTCTAACAATACGAGATATTTCGACAGTCCATCTCACGTGCAAACTGAGTTAGGAGTGGCATGTGAAATTTGACTTAGGGGATGGACGCACACGTGAACTAGGCAAAACTTGAGCTCTGATACCAAGTTGAGATGATGAAAGAGAGAAAAATGAAGAGTACAAGGCCCCCGTATATATGGAGAGATTGCAATTCGACTTAATTACAATAGTAATCCTAATATATCTCTAGCACCCCCTCAAACTTAAGGTGACTTAACGGAAGCAAACTATAGTTTGTAGAAAAGATCCAGAAAACCCAAGAGTGAATGCGTTTTGGTAAAGATATTGGCGGTATGATCAATGGATGTAGTGGATACAATCGAGTAGTGCCACGAAAAACGTGGTATTAGATAAAATGACAGTCGATTTTAATGTGTATGTGTATTAATAAAAAACATCATCATGTACTATATGGATAAAAATTTAGCTGTCCCAATGAATGATTGTTCCGCTATTATGACGCACTCCCATGTTATCCAGTAGCCATCGCAACCGTAAGAACTCTGATATCGTATCGACAAGAGCTCAATATTCTATTTCTGTACTACAACGAGCCATGGTGGTGTTTTTCTTGCTAAGCCATGAGATAAGTGAATTACCAACAAAAAAAAAAGAGTTTGTAGTGGAGCTACGATCTTGAGGGTCACCATCTTGATCAGCATCAGGATATGTTAGCAACTCCAAGGTAAAATGAACAAAAAAGTGACGGCCATGAAAAAAATGTTCCCTTGATGTAGTGAAAAACTTCGAAGGACTGTAGCAAAATGAGATCATGGGCATGGTCATGTACTGACTCAATATGAACATCATAAGCAATGTCAAGTCGAGTAGCAGTGAGATATACAAGACTGCCGGCTAGTTGTTGATAGTGTGTTGGATTCGAAAAAGGAGTCCCATCATTGGCATCAAATTTGACATTGTTCTCAATTGAAGTTATAGGGACCATGCTGTGAGTGAGTCCTTCTTGAGAAAGATGATTAGTGGTACATTTGGCTCGAGAAAGATAATAATCAGAAAAATCTAAAGTCACCTTTAAGCCTAGAAAGTAGCTGAGTCGCCAAAGATATTTCATTTCAAATTGTTGATTGAGATAGTGCTGAAGTTTTGAAATGCCAGTACGATCATCGCCAGTAATAGCCTTATCGCCCACATATAAGAGGAGCACAATAGACTCGCGAGATGTCAGAAGAATAAAAAGAGCATGGTCATAGGGACTGGTTTAACCAAGGGATGCCATTGTTGAGCTAAACTTGGAATACCATGCACGAGGAACTTGTTTGAGCGCATGTAATGCTCAACATAATCAATACACTTTGTTAGAAGGATAATGTATTGAAGAGGAGGCACCATATAAACATCCATAGTGAGATTGCCATTAGGAATGCATTTTTAACATCCATCTGGAACAAAAACTAGCACTTAATAACGACAACAACATGAAAACTGCAAACATAAATAAGATATGCAACATGAGCAAAAGTCTCTTCAGAGTCAATTTTGTATTTCAAGTCAAGTCTTTCGCTACTAGCTAAGCTTTATGGCCGTCCATAGAACCATTTTCCCTTGTTTTATTTTATATACCCATTAACAACTTACAGCAAACTAACTAGGAGGTAAATCAATCAAATCCCATATATGAGATTTATCTAAACCCTACAACTCATCTGCCATTGTTTGCTGCCAAAGATGATTGGTACTAGCTTTTTCTATATGTGGAAGGTTCTTGAACGGAAGCAATGGTAGAGTAACAATGGTAACCAGCAAGTGTAAGAGTAGGTTGACTTGCTTTGATGGAATGACAGAGAGAGGATTATGGAATGTTTGATATGGAGAACCCACGGATGGGGTAGACATGTTAGAAGTTGCCGAAGTGGTATTGCCAGAAGTACGTGCATCAAGATTATGAGAAAACAATTCTGGAGAGGAAGCTTCACAAGTGGACAGAAGTGCTAGATCTTTTGAAAATAAACCCACCGTAGGATTAGTAAAGAAATGGATATGAGCAAAGGATTTGAAGGGATGAAAATATTTGAACAGATGATCGAGGTGTAAATACCAACAAGAAACAAAGACAGACCTTAGTTCCTATTTAACTAAGATTTTGCACACAATCCAATTTATGTTAGACTGTATTGGGAGCACATAGCAAAAGTCCAATATCTTCATTTGGGGAGAGATCGCTAAGAGCGAGCTCAAGTTCGAACCCGTTAACATATCCAATTAGACCCACCTCTAATGAATTATGGGCCAACTATGATATATTAACTAGTCCACACCACATTACTTATCCGATGAGAGATTTTTCTAACATAACTCACACTTGCAACAATCTCCCTCTCACGTGTGAGATTGATCGGCTCTGATATCATTTGTTGAGATCGCCAAAAGGGAGCATAAGGCCAAGCCCGTCAATATATCCAGTTAGATCCACCTGCACTCAAAAGTTTAAGACAATGAGTTATGAGCCAACTATGATATATTAACTGCTCCACACCATATTACTTATCCGACGTGAAATATGTATTTTTCATAACTAACTATGATATAGTTCGCAATATGTAGTCATTGCATTTTATTTTGTACAAAGTAAAGTTGAAAGTGATTGCAAATGTTTGTTTTTCTCCTCGAGATAGAATTAACACAATCCATATATACTATTTGACCTAGTATAAAAGTAAACTCACATTAAACCCCCACGTTCTGCCACTTAAATAAAGTGGAGATAAATGCACCCTCTCCTTCTCTACTTATTAGATGATACGGAAGCATAAGAGACTATCTCATCACGAGTGCTCTATAGCAATAATATCTATGTAGATTTACATACACGATTGAAATTTCCAACTTTCGACATCGAAAAAGTAAAAAAAAAAAAGGATAAACAACTAGAAATTGATTCATCAACTACTCCATCCAACTAAAGATATTCACTTAATTATATTGAACCTTTCTCTTTTTTTTCTCCTTTATATAAAGACGTCAGAAACGAAGTGATCCACACGTAAAACCAACAGAAACACGCACAATCACATTTGGCTTTGGGTAAGTCTAGTCAGTTGACCAGGAAGCCTTGTTCGAAGGAAAACTCAGGGTAACTTCTACGCTCTGTCTTGGTTCCTCTCTCCTAATTGCCTCACGCGGTGCTCACACTACGTATATAAACTCCATACTTTGATCATGCAAAACCCATCTCTTCCTTCCCACCTCTCTCCTGTAATTTCTGTCTTTCGTAGCTACAGCTAAGTAAGTGCTCTTGCTTTTCGGTGCCCATAACAACATGGCAAGACTCGCGGAACGATACGAGCTTGTGTTCCGATGGTTTGACGAGGATGGAGACGGCAAGCTTTCGCCTTCGGAGCTGAGGCAGCACATGGGCTTGACGGGCGGAGAGCTGCTCCTGAAGGAAGCGGAGGTCATGGTCGAGTCGCTGGACTCGGATGGCGACGGCCTCCTGTGCTTGGAGGACTTCGTCGGGTTCATGGAAGGTGGGGGCGAGGAAGAGAAGATGGGAGACTTGAGAGAGGCGTTCGGGATGTACGTGACGGACGGGTGCGGGTTCATCACGCCGAAGAGCCTCAAGAGGATGCTCTCAAGGCTCGGGCAATCCAAGACCGCGGATGAGTGCGAGGCCATGATAGGTCACTTCGATCTCGATGGAGATGGCATGGTCAGCTTCGATGAATTTAAGGTTATGATGATGTAGATTTCATTGTACATACGATGGAAATACTGTTTGATTTCATATGGACCATTCGTTCTTAGTCAGATGTTCTTGTTACTTCACTTGAATGAGTTTCTCCAACACTTCAGTTCAGACTATTTGCCAACTGCCCACCATCTGAACAACTAATTTGAGAACTCGGCAGAAAACTGTTTTTATCAGGTTTAAGGACTGGATTCCCATCTTGGATTGTCTCGTGGACTTTGTTTTTAAATATCATTTGAAATGTAGGACAAAGTTGGAAACATTCACAAATTCAAGTGACCTATTAGTGGCATCGGACTCGAAGTTTGGACCCAAACGTGAAAAAACTGAGTAGCCGAAACTAGGCCTTGACAATACATGACCCATCCATGAAGTGCCTGATAAACTTATCTATCAAGAGTTTCCAAAAGGCAGAATTTAACTGAAATACATAATATGTGGCGACGATCGGTTGACTTGCAGCATGCACATAAATTACGTACCGAGTCAAAGAGTATTCACCGACTAAGGGATAACCGTCGCTATGGTATCGGGAGCAGTTACAAATCATCTCGAGCGATCTTATCTAGAGCGATGTCTTGTTTAGTCCAATCTGTAACTGAGTTATTAACATTTTTTGAGAAATGTAAACATTTATTTGTACTTCAACAACTTACCAATTGGTTTAATAAGCTACCGACATTTATTTTTGTACCTTACCTGCGCGATAAAAAATACTAACTTCTATTCAAAATAACCAACCTTATTTTTAGTGATTTATCAACATTTTTCCTGTGAAGGTACCAATTGATTTTAGCATAGCAAATATTATTGGAGTCACTTGTCGTCAACTTTTATTTGATTATTTCAAAACTAGCAAATTGTGTCATAATTTACCAACATATCTTTGTGGAGCTTACCAATGTGTTCAAGCTACCAACATTTGAAAATGCATAGAGTGGTCCTTTTTGACGCGGACTCAAATTTGATGCTCTCTACTTTTGGAAACAAGAATATGTTCAGTCTCATACTCAATTCTATGAATAATGCGGTGGACAAACAAAACCAATCAGAGAGTAGGATATGTATGCGCGCGAGAACTCGTGTTCCCTGTGTCCGACATAGCGTGAGGATCCCACATTTTGCATGAATCGCGATGTTTCTTGATATATGATCGGCTCGGTCAAAGGGGGCCGAGTCTATATGACAGATTTCTTCTAAGCTGTGGAGATTGTCTCGGTCTGAAAACGTGCAAGCCACGGTTCTCATCCGTTACATCCGTGCAGTGACGTTATCTGCTCGACTGCTGATAAGAGGGAGGACAGGTTGAGTTGGTGGAACATGAACTTGCATATTTATTAATGGGGTTAATCCCTCTGAGAAGGTTTAATAGGTTTTTTGTGCAGCCACGGAACAGGAACCATCTCCTTAGATGAATGACTGAGTAATGTGACATTCTATCTGTGTCTTATGTTAGTCCCAAGTGCACGCGTTCTGATCTATGTTTTCTTGTGTAAGCAACCGACCAGCTTGTTTTTAGCCCACAAGCCGGCATATTTTAATTCTTGATTATGCTCTGGCTTTCGTGTTTAACAATGTGACCGCTTGTCCCTTCATCCACAGAGTCGCCGATTAAACGACAAAGATGACGAGACAACTCCCTGTTTTTTTAAGAAGAAGAAGAAGAAGAAGCAGCAAGAATTATATAATAAGATGCCAGCCTAGGTAGGACCGTGATGGAGATGTGCAGGTATGTCAATGGAGCACCCAGATTCTGAGCCAGTTTTCCAAGCTTTCTGCCCACCTGATTCCAGCTCCACTCTGTCGTGTGCTCCCATCTCTTTATTTCTTGCGGTCGAGGCAGATCGAGTTAAGAGGGCTCGAGGAATTCTCGTCGCCCATGGGTGCCTGTGTTTCAATAGATGACGATGCTAATGGGAGAGTGGCGGAGAGACGCCTGATTCAGTCTCCTTCTCAGCTGGATGGGGCTTTTGTTGCCCAAAGCAAATTGGCTTCTCAGCATTCCATCACATCGTCATGGACGACTACAGGTTCGGCTCATACGAAGTAGTTGGGAATTACTAACTATTCATATCAATCGAATTAGAGATTCTTACAGAAGTAGCCCCCTTGGACAGGCATGCCAGATGCTGCCAGCTTCGAAAATAGTTTTGCTGTCATGAATCATGTCGCGATGCATAGCTAGGACAGATATATGCCTTCTGTTTTATGAGATACTAAGATGATTCCATAAATAAATGTACCGTCAGACTTGCAACTGGGTCCATTCAAGGCATGCTGCTTTCCAATTGCTGCAGGTAGTAAAGACGAGATGTTTTTCGACGCACAAGCGTGGCAGGAAAGCAGCTCCGAGGATGACTTCTTCAGCGTCAACGGAGGTACTACCGAGTTATCTATTTTAGTATGATCATGAGATTGATTTAGTTGCTGTCTTTGAATGTTGGAGATTGCTCCTGCAAAAATTTTATGTCATACGAGGCATCTCGATTCGTTGGCTAAGCCTTCCATACCGTCCATGTGTTGTCCCTGCGTGTTTTTATTATCAGCATGAAAAAGGAACACTTTTCACCTACAGATTTCGTTCCATCTGGTGCGAGCAGTCCGATTCATCGGAGAAGCTTCTCTGGTTTCCCACCTGCGACCAGAACACTGTCTGTGAGCAGAAGCAGCTTTTTCAAGCATGAATCTCCGTCGTTTACGGAGAAGAAAGAGCCCCACGATCACGGCAATGTCCTCCCCAACCCCAAGCACAAGAAGGAGATACAGCTGGTTCAGTTCTTTCAAGACAGATTTTGGACCAGTCAGGCTGGACTACTTGATCATGACAGCCACCCTCACAATCAACGCATAACCCACGGCAAGTCAATGCCAAAGCCAAAAGGTACTTAAATGCAAACTCCAAGGGCTGACAGATACCAAATTTTAACCCGTCCTAGGCGACACGGCATTGACGAGTAGGAGTGACATGACCTTGAGAGCTGAAAGTCGATGATGCTTGGAGTTGGAGGAGAGAGCTCAGATGTTCCCCCGTGGGCCATCAGAAGATGTACGAGTCACGGGCTCCCACATTTGACGCGTCCTGCATCATTATTGGGAGTTCAGACTCTTTTGAATTGATGAGAGATCGAAAACGAGTTTGTTTAGTATGTCCTGCTTGATCTCCTCTAATTTGTGGACAGAGTGTCGTCCTCCTACAACAGCTTTTTGTGAGTTGATTGGAATCTTTCTTGTAAATTTATAAGCCTTTTGAGTTGACAGAAGGGAATACTGGCAATCCTCAATACATAAAACTTGCATTTGTACACGTCCAAAAGTGCTAGGTCATACAAAAACCAGTCGGGTCCGTAAATCATATGAGAAGTTTTTCTTTAAAGGTTTCCGAGACAAAGAAAGGCGTTCCGATGGATTCCACCGCAAGAGATGCCATTTTCATCTATTCTCGAACACAAATGCCGACGGTTTCTACTACAAAGATTTTAAATGATCTTCATTGTATACAAAGGAATGAAACATCCAGTGTGCAAAACTGTTCCCCTCGTGAAAGTATTTAGTCCCTCGAGTAAAGATCGTCGAAAACCGGCCCTCAATTAAGTGACAAAAGGCAACTTATTTTACACAATATAATCCAACCTTGCACCCAAAAATCAAATGCCTCCATAATTTAGAATTTGATCACATTTTGCCTGTCAGGAGGAGCAACACATTGCCATAAGGAACGATATGCCGGAATATCAGCTGCTTCAACACCAAGCACCGAAAGGTTGCGCCCATACTCCTGCTCAAGAAAACCTTGGCAGTAATCATAATTTGCTATGTGTAACTCACAAACATCAACTTTAGATAGAAAGAGACAAACCTGAATGTCAAGGAATAATTGCATACAGATCTTATCCGTGTCAGACACATTTTGTTCCGACACATCCGAGCTTGCTCCAGCTCGTCTCTGTGCACCCTGACGTATTCTTTGAAGCGAAGATTCTGTTTTCCTAGCCTATATTGACAAACAGAAGATTGATCTCTACTTCGAAAAACAAGCATGTGAAATTGGACATTTCAGGGGAAAAAATCAGCTCAAAGTACTTACCACATTAACAAGGTCAGAGGCCAATTCATCGTAGCGGCCAGTAACCTCGGTGGCAGCACTCAGTAGCAGTTCATTCCTAACATCTGTAGTCAAGTATGCATTTGCCCGCTCTCCGTCCAGAAAAGTCTGCAATATAAGTGGTTCACCACAAAACATCAGAAGAAAATTGTCTCGTTTATGCATAGAGCCAAACATCAAAATAGAAATACAAAAACAAAAAATATTATTCTCCCATGAGGAAATCATTAACCCATGCTAGTGTGCATCTTCTATGCTTCATTATAATTAGTGGACGATGGAAATTACTCTGGAACTACTCATATTCGAAAAAATACATATGACATCAGCCGTTCAACAAGCATGCAAAAAATTGCTGCTTATTGAGAAACCATTAGCTCAGATATGCAATGGATCTCGGTCTTTGTTCTTTATTTTTCTCCTTTTCTCCATCCCTTTTCAATTTTAGGCATGGCTTCACAAAATTAAAGAGAAAAAAGAGCATGTATGAATCTAAAACTTGATCCCCCACTCCTCACACAGACATGATATTTTCTTTCCCGACACAGATTACTTTTCATGTCTAAACCCTGTATTTGACACATTTAGCACAGGAAAGCAAGTATACTTTGCTGATGTGAACAGCATCAAATAACATAATGTGAATGTAGCGAAAATTGATTCCATAGTGGAGACTATTTGGTCCTAGACACCACTTGAGTCCAAATAAGAGGTCCAAGAAGAGAGGACACCAATCTCTTTCATCTAAACATGACTTAAATCGTGGGTCGTTCATCAGTCTATACCTGTAAGATCTAATGATTCTTTTTGTCCTGGATTTGTTATCAAAACAGCTAGAAAGTTCCGCTACACTTGAGGCAAGACAGATACATCTGGGACATCAAATGCTGAAAAAAGAAGAACAGAGTAGAAGACATAATAAGGGAGCGCATACCTTCAGGGGACGCAACACACCTGCTACATATGGTGAATGCCTCACAGGAAGAGGTTTATTTGTCATCCTGTAAGTCGCCGTTATTCCCTTCAGCTGCCTTAAATCCTATACATTTTCATAAATTTCTATAAACCAGTTGAAGATCCACTAATCGCATTTGATTAGACAATACTACATGACAAATCGCTACAAGTCAAATCCCCATGTATCATCTAGTTTGTCAGGACAGGATGACTTCAACATGAAAGAAAGAAAAAGCAGATTCAAGTACTCCTAATAACGAAAATAAGACAAGGCACCTCAACAGACTTCTCAACCAGAGCTTCCACGATTGCATTGATGATTGAAGGTACAATGTCATTCAACGATTTTCCTCCCTGCAAAATGCTGTCTTTCACAGAATCACGAACTTCGGCAGAGCATGAAGAGAGAAGCCGAAGCACAAGCCCCAGGTAATCACCACAGACTTCTCTTGCAAGAAGACGTACATCATGAATAACCTGAAAATTTAAAAATAAAATAATCCTTAAAAGCAAGTAGGAACTGCACCAAATAAGCTATGACATTGAAGGTTCTTTGAAATAATGGACATTTACTCCTTGATTATCAACTCACAGAGTAAATCTGAATTGAATGAATGACAAGTTTTAATGGATGAAGAAAAGAAGCATACATAGATTAAGTCATCTGGCAAAGCAGTGATAGCCCACTCACATCCGGGATGGGGCCCCGTGGCACCCATCTTGCGAGCGGCGAGTCCAGACGACAACCAATTAGAATACCTGTTATGCAAATCTATGCAGTGAATAAAGAGATGCATTGAACAAACTAATCAACTCATGCAATGCGCAAGTACAATTCTCCTTGATCAGATGAAAAAATAATTCACGATAAACTTAATATTTTCCAAAAGGACTTGACTCTATAATATATATAGATCTTTAGTTTATATGGATTGACATGGTACTAGAATCAAAGAGTTAACTTCTGACCTGGAAATAAGCTGCAAAGACAAACGCATAAACTTGTCAGAGCAGGAAAGAATGAGAACATCATCTCTCCAGCAGGCTTTTAGGCTATCCAAAAGTGTAACACTTTGCTTCAACGTCAAACTTCCTTCATCAGGACTTAAATTCTGAAGTGGGACAAGACTAGTTGTCGTAAGTGCTGAATCTAATGCCCCCGCTATCTCCTGAAATCTGGGGTAATAGTATTAGCGATGACGTCCCATTTTAGAAATGTCAAAAGTCGTTCTCCGAACATTGGTAAAGGAAGAAAGATGTGAAGCTTGTGCTAAGTACCTTAACGAAAAATAAACCCCAATATTCCATTGCTTCATGAACTCTAGATAGACTGCTTCTCCACGAAATTTAGCAACAGCAGATCTGGATGGACAGTAGCCTTGCATGACAATTGGATGTTACAACAATAATGAGCAATCTAGTTGCTGTCTACTCAGAGTAATTAAGATGCTTAGTAGATCAATTCAAGATTTAATAAGTATTTTAAAGTCTAACATCTAGTATGAATTAAAAAGAAAGGAATAGGGAAGCCCTACCTTCCAGATGAGCTAAAAACTCGAGACTCGATTTATAGTTTTTTAAGAATTCTGTGGGTCTTCCTGGAGAAAAGGCACCGGGCTTTGCCTTTTGAATAGCAACCAGAACCTCTTTAAGGATTGAATTAGCCAAGAAATCAAATACATGCAAACCAGAATTTTCTGCATATGGCAACGACAGAATACTCATCAGAATCTACTTACTGTATAGGATCCAGATGAATAGACACAAAATAAGTTGAGAAGGGAGGTTGAATTCACACAGAAAGAATGCTAGTGTTGTGTAACGGATTGAGGTCACTGGACAAGTGGATTAATGGTGTTAGAAGAATGGTTATCTCCATGTTTGAGACCTTTGACAAGCAGATACACTCCACTCCAACAAGCATACACAAAATCTACATTCAATCAGAGTGATCTAATAAAACAATTAGGTGCAGCAACCATACAGACAGAATATATGGTTTGGTACCCAAAGGAAAACCGAGGAGACAATGGGTCCAGCAAGAAAACAAACTGTTATCAGACAGAAGATCGGATAGGAGAAGACAAAAAATGAAAAATCAAAGACAGAAGATCAGATAGGAGAAGACCAAGTAAAACCAAGGACACAATGGGTCCAGCAAGAAAAAAAACTATTATCAGACAAAAGATCAGATAGGAGAAGAACAAGCAATAAAAAACCAAAGGCAGACTACCTGTGGAAGCAATATCTAGTAAAAATTTACAATCTTCTCTTATACTTTGCTTAATTGATTGGTAATCACTTTCAAGCGCATCTCCTGGTGCCGCCATTCCGGACTGTCCATATGGAATAATTTTCTGTATCATAGGATCCACGACAGTGGTCCGGAAAATTTCTTCAGCGCTAGTTGTGTTATCAATAGCAGCATATGCACGTAGGCAATTGTAAATTGCATTAGCATCTTGATGCTCCAACCCATCTACAAAACAATGAGCCAAGCTTGCATCAAGCAGCCGGCTGGCATTCTGAATCCTCTTCTCCATGTTACCAACAAAAGGTAGGTCCTGTACTGGCATTAAAGAAACAAGAATGAGTAGAAAGCATACCTACATAAGAAAAAGGAGCAAGTAGAAAGCATAGAGCAGTCGTTGAAAAATGATAAGCAATAAATGTACAGAATTTGGAGTGGTGACTCCATCATACAAATCATATCTCTGCATGGAAGCCGCACCGTATTGTTACAGTGACAAGCAATCTTTAAAGAGAAGGACAAGAACTAATGCATACTATGGATATAAACTTAAAGATAGGAGGCAGCTATAGTGCTGGGCTTTCCGTTTTGGAGGTATCTATTGGAGTCAGAAAGGTACAGCAACAAGGGCTGCATTTAGAAAATAACAGTGAAACAATTGTGAAAAAAAAAAAAGAAGCATACTTAGCTCACTCTACTAAATTTTGGTCTGATCGAACTGTGGAAACCTGGAGGGAAGGAGCAGGCAAGCTCTACAGTGCAGGATTTTAGATGTGTTAAAGTTAGTAAACTAGATAGCAATAATTGCTAAATTTGTGGTAGCTAGAGCAGAATTTTTAAAATTTCTGGGCTGAGTGAGAAGCATTTGACTTCTTTTCAAGAAGTGATTAAGGCATGGGGTTTCCACACTATACACAACTTAGCTCTCAGAAGATATACTTATTGCGATTGAAATTCAAAGCCGTTCTGTTTATCTTTTTTCTGGTCAGAAAGGGGCAAAATTGCCCTTAAAGTGCAATTGTGAAGCAATTCTGCTTTCTTGCTATAACATTAGCACACGGGAATAAGTGGAAGCATAACATCTAGAAATGAAATAACAGGGTTAACAGAAGCAGGCGAAAGAAAAATTAAAGCATCAGCTTTCGATGCCGTGGTGATATAAATACGTGATGTGCACATAACTTAGCCACAATTTTTAAGTGCTTAGTGCTGAATTATTAATTCTACTTTTTTTTTTTAAGAAATGGAGCACGGACGAATGGACCTGATCACAATGCAAGAAATTTAGACTGCAACATTAAGATAATAACCAGCGTACATCAGAGCTGCCAAAGCAGTTGAATTGGACAGCATTTATGTCATAGTTGAAGCAAATCTGAAACAGGTATTGCGCAGTAGCTACCTCTTCAAACCTAATTGCATTCCTAGATTTGGGGAGAACAAGACTAGAAAGACATTCCTTGTGCACTATGCACACTTCTATTCATTTTACTTCCACATGCAAATATAATAAGAACCAGAAGTTCAATCAACACAAGTGCCAGAGTTAGCAGTCTTCTAAATTCATGTGTCACACATGTAATGACAAAGTGAGTAAATCATACTAAAAGAGTTCCATCATGCGGAATCAGCCAATTCAGCTTCATCCTCTTCTTAACTCCAGAACTAAGAGGAGATTCAATAGGCTAGAGATCTGCCACAATGTTCGAAAGAAGGCGGGCATAAACTTGCAGAAGAAAGCAATTCCTGAAAAACTAGATCAGCAGCTAACTCTGATCAAGGTCCTGCAAGCTAGTACCCGTCGTTAATAGCATCGCAGTCACAAGCTTACAGCTGCAAGGTATCAATGCAGCTAGATGCATCTTGAATTTTTGCAAAATTATGCTCTTTCCTGATTCAGTTGTCAAAGTTTTTTTCCCTCGGAACTCAATATTTTGATCATGCAGATGTGATGGACGGTTTATTGGGTGCAGCAACCCCAAATTGAAGTCAAATATTCCAAATTCATCGGATATCTGAACCAAAATGCCACATCTTTCCATAACTCTAAAGCAATGAGACCAATCCTCTCAAGACTTCATCTTGCCGAGAGAGAGACAGAGAGACAGACCTGTGCATGAGCTATGTAGAACTTAAGGCGATTCATCTCACTGGCAATCCTTTCCAGAAGCATGCTCTGAGTCTCTCTTAGATTCGTTCCATTCTCAGCAGCATGATTCAAGGACAGTCCGTTGCTGATGGGGGAGCCATTTTCAGCCGAATTCACATCCCCATTCGACCAATCTGCAGGCACGCTCGGGAGTTCCTTGATCAGTTTCTCGACCTTGGACACCACGTGGAACGTGTCGAGCAACAGCTCCAACACCTCCCTCGCGGATGCGGCCTCTGACCGCTGCTTCAGGCCATTGCGCAGCGCCACGAGCGATCCCTCCACGCTGCCCCTGAACCCTTCGATCTTGTCCCTCAGCTCCAGCAGCGGAGCCCGCATCCGCACAATGGCGGCATCCACGTCGACGAGCTTGGTGCTGAGGTTGACGAAATCGTTGTAGTCGCGGTTGATGAGGTCGACGAGCTCGTGGTTGAGGGACGACAGGTGGCTCTGGAGCTCGGACCTGAGGGTGTCGAAGGGTACGAAGGTCCGGAGCTCGGCGATGTAGGACTCGGAGTCGAAGTCCCGGGAGAGGAAGGCGGAGGGCCGGAACCAGAGGGGGTGGGAGTCGAGCGGGTCGGAGAACAGATCCGCGGCGGATCTCGGCGGCGCCGGCGGCGGCGACGGGATGGACTCTACCATCGGCGGTTGCCGGGTCCCTCGACCGTTCGGATTCGGCGATGACGTGCGGGAGGAGCAAGTGCCGGCAAAACTGCGAGAATCTGCGACACTGTAAACGCAATCGAAGCCTGAGGAGGAAGAAGACGAAGAAGAAGACGGACACCAGAAACGACGCCGCGTAAGATGATATTGGGCCGGTCTGAGCCCAGCCCACTCTATTTAGGCCGAGCTTGTTTCCTTTGAGCCCACAAACATGGCCCACGTTCTTAAGGATAATGACACAAATGGCCCTGAATTTTAACATAATGCGTAATGTGATCCATAAATTTTTAAATTGCACGATATAGTCCTTGAATTTAAAGTAATGTTCAATATGGCTTATGAACATTCAATATAGTTCATGAAGTTGAATTAATGAAATGATTATATTGAATTTTTTTATATAATTTGAAAAATAAATTGAGTATATCTGAAAGTTAGCACATCGAGTTAAATTTTAGGGATCGTATTGAACAAATTAAAAGTTCGGGAATCCCGTTACGTATTAAATTAAAATTCAGGGACCGTCTTTGTTATTTTCCCCCCCACCCCACTTCTTTGATCCGTTCTTCCAGGGAGCAGTAGCTCTCCGCATCTTCTTCGCCCCCCAACCGATTTGCTTGAAGTGCGAACAAGCTGTGTCGTTGCTCTCTCTGCGGATGCCGAAGCGAAAGCAGCGTGAAATCCTGAATGTGGAGGATTTCTGTGCTGCCGCAGCAGGTAAATTGTTTCCAAACTCTCTGGTGACGATGAACGGCGGCGGTTTCCAGCTTAGTTTGCATCTGGGTCTTTTTGTGATCGCGCTTCTCCTAGGGAGCCAAGGAAAACAAAACGAACTGTGTTCGACGAAACGTGGGGAAGGAATTCTCGCGCAACCTGCGAGAAAGATGCTGTCTTGACCTGTCTAGGGTGATGACTCGAAAAGCTAGAATTTTGTTGCCTCTGTTGCTGACCCTTTTGCGAATTAGACGTGAATGATCATTTTTTTTTTTGGCCAAAAGGATATCGGGAAGGACTAGTTGATCTCGAAAAGATGTATGGTATCTTGTTGTTGTGGCTTGAGACGTCTGTTTGCCGATTGCGCGGTGAATGCTTTGAAAGAAGACCCGAGTTTTGTGTGCTTGCTTTAGATGTATTGGTGAATGAATGATCACTTATAGCGGAATGGGTTCTTGCTCTTTACTGATGTCTTGCTAGTGAAGATGGAAATTGTTCATCAGAGATCTCAAAGCTTTTCTAGCAAATTGTTTGACAGTACTTTCGTTTTTATGTCGTGGACCTTACTGCACAAACTTAGGAAGGTTGCTGCGCAAATTTTAGTAGTACCTCAGTACGAGAGAGTATGATGGTAAGACTTGATAGATTTTCCAGTTCATGCAGGAAGTTACATCTGGAAGATTTTAGTCGCAGCACCGTGGAAAAGCTCAATCAGAAGCAAGAATAGTAACTATTAACGTTTGTTTTCATGGTGCATAAATAGCTCTAGCAAAGTATATTTGAGGACACCCTACTGTGCGAGGCTTTAGCGTGAGACTTTTGGGTAGTCAAATGCATGATCATAGTCTGATCACAATGATCATGCATTTTAGATGAACTTTCTTTGGAGCATTTTAATGAAAGTCGTCTCTATGACTTCACGCCTTATTGGTATACCATATGCCAAGGCTCCTAGTTTAGCATAGATTATTCAAATTTCAAGACAGACAAAAGCAATCGTCCATTCTTAATGAACCAAAGAGGCGATTACATTGTAATGGGTCTTACATGTGTTTCTTAAAATTTGAGAATCAAGAAAAGGCGAACAATTCGAAGATGGAGCAGAGTAATTTCGAGACAGACTTGTTTGCTAGAACGCTCTGAAAGTCACAGTAGTTTTATAGGGTTATTTTTAAAGATGGTGTCCTAATGTGGATAAACAGAGGGGGTAAGTTACCCAGAAACTCTACCACATTTAAATTCTGTTAACTGCTTTTTTGGTTTCCTTTTCTCTTTCTCATGCTAAGGGACAAATAGGAGACGAAACAATAATGCTACCTTTTCCAAGCACCCGAATACGTTAGACACAAATAAATTTGAACGTTGTTTCAGGTGAGTTCTCTATCCACTACTATCATGGGGAATGGCTTAGCTTCTCCTTTATAAGTTTATGACCTGGATTTTCGTTGTTAAGGAATATATGGCGGGACCTTTCAGAAGATAAGAAGGCCTCGTTCACTTTTCTGGATAGCCTGTGGTTTGCCCTGTACATGAAAGAATCATTGAGGGAAAAAGTGCTGAACTGGATTAAGAAGGAGTGCATCTTCTCCAAGAAATATGTCGTCGTACCTATTGTTCGTTGGTTGGTAATTTTTCTTTTCTGAGCTTTGTATGTCTGAATTTTATTTTCTCTGTGTACCAAAGCTTCGAATCTGTCTGTGTCTACTTGCCAGGAGTCATTGGAGTCTCTTGATCTTATGTCATTTTGGTGAAACAAAATCAAAGACCAGAACACCATGCATGATATTGCTTGATTCACTGCACATGGCAAACCCTAAGAGACTGGAACCTGAGATAAGAAAGTATGTTCTATTTGCCATTTCCTTGTATAACCCCGTGACAGTTCAGCATCTTCTAGTATAAGATCTGCTCCTGCATGTGATTTAAGCCAACCTTAAATTTCTGGATTTCACTCAGGTTTGTAGTGGACATTTATAATGCTGAAGCCAAGGAGAGACCGGAAAAGAAACCAGCAACTTCTCAGATTCCGCTCTTGGTGCCTAAGGTGACATTTGGCTCTTAGGTTGCTTGGTTAATCCATTTTCTTCCATTTCTTCTCTTTTAATCGATTGGTAAACTATGAGTTAGGTACCACAACAGAGAAATGGGGAGGACTGTGGCCGTTTTGTTCTTTACTTCACCAGTCTATTTGTTGAGAATGCTCCCAAGAATTTCAGTACAGATGATGGCTACCCTTACTTTGTAGGTTCTCTTAATTTTGTGGCCATTATTAAGTACTGTAAGCAACCCACTTTTTCACTGTGTTTTTGTTTTAAACTGCAGATGAAAGAGGACTGGTTCTGTCCTCAGGACTTGGATAGTTTTTGCAGTAGACTTAGATTAGAAAACTGAATATTGTGGATGCGGAAGACTTGCCCACATTGGTTGAAAATAGTGAATTATGTAAGAAGGTAGCACTTTTGTATTAGGCAATTTCTTTTCTAGAATGTCTAGATTTTGTTTGATTGAATTGACAGTATTATAGTGGTTGGATGAGTTACAGGCATGCCTTACTGGATGTGTTCTCACCGACTTTATTTCTATGGACGATAGTGATTGGCAATACCGTGATTTGACGGACCGATAATTCTTTGTTGCAACGTCAAATTTATTGTCTATGCAGGACCACCTGCGTGTGTATTATTGTGGATTGAAATTGTGACAATTAGAATGCTAGTGGACACTTAATAATAATGCTCCCGAATCTCATGCTTTATGTTGCCTGTATCTGAGATTCATTATATGATACATTGTTGAAATTAGCTCCTCTTACATAGTAACTTATAAGGAGGAAATATATGACGTAGTCCCATCTAGCCTGTCTATGCTGTAAACCACAGCAAAAGCAGTGCGGCATTATGCCTTATGCAATAATAGGCATCGAAACATCTTAAGGCGCCATTGTCTAATCATGATTTGGAGAACTTCCTTCTCAGGGAAGAGCAGTATGTCCGTAATGATAAATTACAAGGGTGATATACACCCAAATTATATTTCAAAGTTAGATGCAAGTCAGAGTTTGAAGATACAGATGTTAGCAGACGTCCATGGGAAGAATCATCATTGGTGTTACTTAGGAGACTGGGATATCCCTATCCTGAAAGAAACTGAGGAAGAGAAGATCAAGTTGTTGGCAAGACTTATCTGTTCTATGTTTGAAGATGCACGGATGTGGGCATGGAATGGTTAAGGAGAAATGGCAGCAGAAAGGGACGAGGACTTGAAACCATTTTTACTTGAATCTCGAGTTTTCATAAACTGAATAGTTGAAGTTTCAAGAATTGCCTAGAGCTTCCAACTCCTGTCAACCACTTCATCAAAGAGAAAAATGAGTGTCTTGTTCTTGCTAGTTCAACTCTTTAAGAAGTGACGGATTCATCGGTGAACAGGGGATTGATTCGAGATATTGAGTTACATACGGCTTGTCATGGGCTTCATATGTATGATCATTCTAAATCTCGGCATCTATGGAGGTTCATTTCCCTACACACTGTAATTTGGTATAAATTCCTTCTGTTCTTTACATTTCCTCTTCTAATTTGTGGATACCGTTTTATGCCGCTTTCAGAGTGCCATTGTTTTCGTCTCCTGTGAATCATCTCTGCTGTGTATTATTGTCATTTTAATGGGGAATATGGACCACTAATGTAGACATGAACTGAGTACTGTTGATGCTGAAACAAACTCTCAGGTACATTCGATTTCTATATAGTTTCCTATGTTGTACTGCTGTCTGTCTCTTAACTTCATCATGCTATTAGATTGTAGATTTTCCAGTAGGAGATTTTGGGTTCAGTAGCCAGAGTTCTGAAGGTTATATGGGAACTTGCTGGCCTAGTGTCTAAAGGATATAGTGTATGGATAAATGTTTGCTGGGATGTATATGATGGAATGTGTTGTTGTTTTCTATTAAAAAGGGTACTTGCTGGAATTGCGAAATTGGGGCTAAATGGAGTGTATTATGAATGAAAATGAAGTTAGGATAGATGAAGCTCACCACCAATGCCTAAAGGAACAAGTTACTGGCCAAGGATAAAGAATTTAAGGCTCATCACCGTACAAATGGATAAAGAACCGAAATTTGAAGGAAATTGCTCACTTCAAGAGATATCTAATGTATGACAAATCAAGTCTCCCCTACATATGAGATTCCATCTTTTATTAATAGCCAAACTAAGCCATTGTACTAAGACTCTCATGGTAAATGTTAGCACACTCTACATTTAGACTTTTCAACCTGGTAATGAAAACTAGCTCACACTCTTTCAAACTTGCAATAAAAACTCTTGACATTTTAGCCTTGCATCAAAGACTTCACACTCTTTCAAACTTGCAATAAAGACTATTGACATTTTTACCTTGCATCAAAGACTCTTTGATTAATGTAGGAAGACAAATTAAGCACACTAAAGCATTAATAACACAAAAAGATAAACTGAGTATGCTAAACATTGGAAACACATTAATTGCCTTTTCAACCATATATTTAAGCTACCTACCATCAACAAATGCTATCTTGAGTGCTCTGGTCCTGTTGGACCATGTTGAGAATGAATTTGCTATGTGCTTTTCTGATTGACAATTTGGTTCGATTGATTGATGAAGCTCAAGTTGTGATGGCAATGTAATCATTGGGAGATTTAAGTTCTAATGATCCCGCATCAGTATCCGTCAACATTTGCCGCGACTACGGAGCTTCATGAATAGTTCTTGCGATTTACATTCCCGTGAGTACTGGGAATCACTTGGGTGAAGATCGTTTTAAATGAGCTCTCCTGTATTTTCTGGTTGACTTGGACAAATACAATTTGATTGAAGGATGGAGAATATTACTTGGCATCAGTAACCTATGAAGATATGCAATAGCGAAGAACTCGTGGAGTCGAGACCGGGGGAGTGAAAAATGTGCCAGCCGCGTTTTGGTAACACTCGCGCATAATTTTCACATGCGCTTTGCATATTAAATCATTTCCCCTCTCAACTTTTTTGGTCATGGCTTCCATCGTTCACACGCCGAACTACAGGAAAACGATATCCTAGAGATGAAATTTGCCCAATCCACGGGACCGGAGATCAAACAACAACGTGACGTAAGGGGTGACGTGTCGGTGTTTTCTATTCGATTCTTACTTTGTGCCCAATTTGACATCAATCACTCAAGTAAATCATCGTATTCACACAATGATACATGTAAGAATGGCTTTGGATTCCTAGAGGTCATCCATCGGGACCTAATAACCCTTTTTATTCTCCACTAACTTATTTATCTGTGCATTTGGTCCATTCTCCACCAGGCCGTGTTATTATGTAGATATTCATGTACCGAGGCAATGATAGGAGACGGCATTCTGTCCACATGAACACTACTTCATCAATCTACTGAATCGATTGAGGCTTTAAAGCTACAAAAACGACGCGCATTCACCCTGCCGCCGACCCTATCTTATGTACTCTCCAGCTCCTTTCGTTGCAACAGCTTGGCAGCTTCCGATTAGTTCCTCTTCTTGACCGCAACCTTCAGCCCCCCCGCCATATGGGCAGTCAACAGGGGAAGGAAGACGGGCCGGTTCTCCGGAACCGGTGTGATCTCGAACCTCCTCAAGATCGATGCCACCACGTACTTCATCTGGATGAAGGCCATCTCCTTCCCGAGGCACACCCTTGGACCGGCCTGGAAAACCGGGTACTTGTATGGACTCACCGCCCTCAACTCCCCCTCGGGACTACCTTCCATTCCCGGTCCGACCAGCCACCGGTCCGGTTTGAACTCGTACCGATCCTTCCCCCACAGCTCCTCCATTCTCCCCATCCCGTACGGTAAGTACGTCACTCTATCCCCCTTCCTCACCGGGGTCCCGTCCGGCAACACGTCATCGACCGCGGCATGCTTTGAGTCCCACGCGACCGGCGGGTAAAGCCGCATCGATTCACAAAGGCATGCCTTCAGGAACCTCATCTCCTTCAAGGCTTCGAAGTCCAAGCACTTGTTATTGCTCCGGTCAAGAATCGAGTCAACTTCGCTCATGATCGCTTGCTCGGCATTCGAGTTCTGGGCGAGCAACCAGAAGAGCCACGTCATGGCCGCCGATGTGGTGTCTCTTCCAGCCATCACGAAGCTTATCACCATGTCCCGCACCATCTCCTCACTGTGCCCGGCCGCAATAAACCGCGACAAGAGGTCACCGTCATATTTTATCTGCTGATCATCGTTATCTTGGAGCAGCTTCTTCTTCCTGTTCCGGATTATATCGAGTATATCCCCATGCACGAGCTTGACGGCTTCGGCAAGCTTCTTTTCGGACCCGATGCTCAACGCCCTCTTGATCTTCCAAACCAGATACACTGGAGAGACAGCCCTCATTGCGCATATCCTCGACGCGTCATCGAAGGCAGTCACCAGAGGAGGCAGTGGGCACGAGAGGTCGAGACAATCTGGGTCAGTGCCTAAAGACACTTGGCACACGGTGTCGAAAGCGAACCTCCTGAGCAAGTCTTGAAGATCGAGGGTTCGATCAGTATCGGCATAGCCTTGGAGAAGTGGCAAGAGCCGGTTCTCGACTTCGGCTTCAAGCTTCTGCACGATGAAGTCCCTCAACGAATTGGTGCTGAACTCATGGCTGGCGAGCTTGCGCTGGGTGGTCCAGAGAGAACCGTCGACGTTGAAGATGCCGCAGCCGAGTAAGTCGCCAAGGATGCTGGTGAAGGGGACGCCCTTTGGGTAGTTGTGGAAGTTGGCCTTGAGGACGTGCTCGACGTTGCTAGGGTTGGCGGTGACAACGGTTCGGCACGCACCGAGCCGGTTAATGACGATGGTCTGGGTGGGGGATCGGGACAGGAGGTCTGTGTACCAGTCGAGGAGGCGGAAACGGTTCCGGTAGAAAGAGAGGAGACATCCTATGATGGGATGAGAAGGAGGGCCATGGCAAGATGGTGTTTTCTTGCTGATGTTTTGGTGGATGAGGGAGAGGAAGACATACAAGATAACAGAAAACCCTACAAACAGGAAAACAGACATGATGAGTTTGCAGTGCGGGATGTTGAGGGATGATGGTTTGATATGTAGCGTGAGCTTCGGGGGAGGAAGAACCTAAGAGCTTACGTATATATAGGAAGGGACGTCTTTTAGAGAGAGTTGAATGGAGAAGAGAGAGAGAGAGACTTTGACTAAACACAGAAGAGTTGAAAGTCGTCATACTTGATTCAGATAACGTGTAGTTAGTATTGGGGTGAGATTATTGGGGGGTCAAACCGTGGTGAAGGGTATGATTCGACGGCGATGTTTGGGCAGACATGGACCGACGTTGGTAGAGAAAGCGGGGCACGCTATCAAAGGACTTTGATCAACATATCTCGTCTAGAGGTGAGAAAAAGGAATCGATGAGACCGGACCAGTAGGTTCTGGGTAGTTTTCAAGGTACCGGTTCGATTCCCAATTTCATAAAATTGGAATCCGTAAATTTCTATCAAGTTCCCGATTTCAAGTGTGGAACTGCCTATCCAAATCGCCCGAATCGGACCATTGCTCTCCCATTTCACAAAGAAAAGCCCTTCAAAACTGAAGCGATTACGTTTACTTATGCACTTGAGTAAGATGACAAGTATAAATCAAAACATAATAGTAGTTGCCCACCTAAGAACTGGTCCAGTTTTCGATTCTAGAAACTGAGAACCGACCCCTCTGCTTTGGTTCTTAGTTCCTGAACGGGAATCGGATCGCCCGAAAATCGATCACCCATGATATCGATTTTCAGAAGACGAAATCAAATTAGAAATGTGGGATATACCCAAACAAAAGGAAGAAAGGGAGAATGAAAAGAGTTCGCATGGCTCTCGAGCTTCAAAAAGGACGGGGACAGCATGCGGAATTGCAAGAAAGATGAATTTGATTTCGAGACATGTTTTGCGGCGGGTGAGCACGTCCCAAGCCACAGCGCTTGCCCCGAGAAAAAGAGGAAAACATGGGGGCCAAAAACAACTTTGCAAATTGCAATTGGACAAACAAGAAAAGACGAGGCATGCAATCATGCTCCCCGTTTGTTCTCATTTTTTACATGCATTGACATGAAAGGAGGATTATAACTACACAATACAAGAGGTTTAAAACATTGAGATTGTGTGAAATGTGAGGACATATATACCATCACATGCATGTGGTATCAATTTATGTGTTCGGTGAGATGAGCTGGATGAACACAAATGACAAGTCCCGATGTCAAATCTCAGTTGGTCACAGTTTCAGCGAAAAGATAAAATTCCTTTAAGAGTATGGATGATCGATATGAATCAACGAACCTTAAGATGGGTCCTTTTTACTAATTTGTGACGAGGAAATAAATGACAAGGGATTTAAAAGTATGAACACAAGGGACAATGCTGACAACGATGTAAATTGCAAGAAAGTAAAGATAAGATAAATTTGTATAAGAGTATTGAGTTCTATAATTGATTTGGGGTCTTTCACAAAGAATACAATGTGGGTAAGTAAATAAGCAACTTCCTAATCCTATACGTAGTTACAAGAAGTTACTCCGCAATCTGCTATTATTCAGCAATGCTTATCTACACGAAGTTAAGGATCCAAAAATATTGACTCCGCTACTTCGGCTCAATAACCTCGTCAAATGGTGATAGCTTTTATTAATTACCGGTGATATCCATTATTAATGATTTTACTGACGAGTTGTTAGTTCTTTTCAAGTTGTCAACTGTTCTACTCAATTCATTAGCGATACTTGTATTTGCTAAACTCAGCTCTTATCGACCGAGTTTATCACTTGTCGATAAACAATCAAGAGCGTTTGGTATCACCGGTCACATAACACTTTCATTAATCAAATATTCACCATAATAATTACCATGCCGACTCCCCCCCGAGAGAAAGGACTAAGATAGTTGCCAAAAGTACAAATAGATACAACCAAAAATGTCGATTCCTATGGAGGAGCAGGTGCGTCGATCAAGATAAGTCTTGACTGGGTGTACGTACGGCTTTGGAAAAGTTTTTCGTCGTTGAAGGCGGCGTCCACTTGGTAAACGCCGAGGGGGAGAAACTCTATCTTGTCTGCTCCTCCGCCTCTTTGACGACCTCCCGTTTCAGAGCTCAATTCATTTCAACCTCCATGATTTCTATGGAATCATTCCCATCATGCATATAAGATAAAAGCCTCTTGCGCGGGAATTTGACTAAGTATATTTATGGATATTAGAGATTTCTCTATCAGAAAATATTACTAGAGATAATATAATACATGATTAATATCACGAAAAATCCCAAACTGGTACATTTATGACAGATTTGTCTCAAATTAATATTTTGACCACCAAAAATCCAAAACTGGTATACTTATGAGAAATTTACCTTCCGTTAAATTGGATTAATACAAAAAAGCACAAATTGATAAACCTATGAATAAAGGAGGGGTAAAACCCAAAATCGGTATACTCTTCGACTATCACGTGTCATCTAACTCAAAAATTTGACGGTAAATTTAACGAAAATTAACAGAGGGTAAAATTGTCACAGGTGTACCAGTTTTGGGTTTTTAGTGGTCAAAAAATTAATTTGGGGTAATTTATTACAGGTGTACTCTTTTAGGGTTTTTCGTGGAATTAACCCTATTAGATGTTGGGGATGTCATTTGGCATTTCGTTATTTTCTAATATAACTAATTTTCTTATTAGATTATTTCCTTTCTTATACATATTGCTCGGGTATAAATACCCTTGTTTCTAATGAATTAAATGTCAAGCCAATTGAGTTAAGATGTAATGTTTATTGATTCTCTCCCTCTATCCTGAAGATTCTAGAATATTTACGGATTTAGAGCTAGGGTATATGAATGATCTAAGCATGGACGTAATTTGCTTACTCTGTGTGTGGTCACACCTCTCACAAGAATAATCAAGTTATGTACTATTGTTTCCCCAACTAGGACACAATGGAAGATGGACAAAGTCAAACGTTTGATTTGATCAATGCATGTGAAAAGTCAATGAGCTTGGTTTTCCCTATTGCCCAGCTCCAGATCTATTCGTGGTGTTCTTAGTTAAGGGGTTTGATTCAAGTGGGGTTTGGTGATTCTTTAATTGAGAATAGTGTGTGAATTTGCATGTGATGGGGACTAGGGCATTAGGAGAACACACAGGAAGAAACCAAAAAGGAAATGCATGGAGAGTGCAGCCTTCACATTTGAGAGTGCATTATCTTTCCTCTCTCCTCTCTCTCTCTCTCTCTCTCTCTCTTCAATTCATTGGGGAAAAGTGGAAATGTTTAGGCAATATTGACCACACTTTCTTAAAGGTTGTGAGAAAGGATGAAGGAGCATGTGAAATGCATTGCTTTTTATCTGGAAAGAGTAATTTTTTTCAACGTGTTAATGTTAGATAAAAATAATCACGTTGCAAAGAGAATATGTGCAATTCTGTATTTTCAACGATGAAGAGCGCATGAAAAACCTATAGCCTGTACAAAATGACTATTCAGGTAACAAGATATTCGAACCATCGTGTCATGATTTACAATATCAATTACTATATATCAAATACATACACAATTGATTGGAATATGTCTTATTCCCTAACTATCTCTAACCCAGTGTTTAAGAATCTGCTAAAGAGTGCTATTAGAATACTCTGTCCGCGCTTGTCGATTCTATATTGGGTTTCTTCTATTGTCAATTACGCAACATGCGGCCCGCCTCTTTCATCTCGTAAGGTTTTCCAAAAGAAGAGATAAAGGGAAAAATGCTTTGCATGTACCATCTTGTAGATCGATTCATCAGATGGGAAGGGTGATATCATCAGTTTGTGCAAAACCAGACTGAGCAATTCACAAGTAGATACAATCTCAGCTTGATCAGAAGAGGAAGAATAGACTCTTTTACGTGCTTATGCAAGGGTATGCGTAGGCGTGCACGTCTACGGAACACGCGGTTAGTATACGAGCGAAACACGGTTTGCGCGACCAAGAAAACCGAAGTAGGTCGCGATGGGCGGCAGCGAAAACGGAGTGGCTCGTGGAAAAGTTTGGGTTAGGCGGAAAGTAATCGAGGGACGAAGTCCATTGGACAGACACGACACGGACGTCTCGTTCCACAAGGAAAAACTATTCTCAAAAAGAGACAAAGAGGTAAAATCTGGTGCCGGTGCCGCTGTTCATTTACAGCAAGTGAAGAACTGCAATCACGTTTCTCTCTTTGCATCCGAACGTGGGAAAACTTCCTCACCTTTCCCTTGCTCAAGGGGTCCTTGGGACTTTTGGTAATCAGCTGTCGGCCGCCCGTTTGCTGGGTCTGTCATGAACGAAGACTGCGCGTGTTCTCTTCCACAGGAAGAAGGGCAGGAGCCAGCCATCCAAAGCTTATATTTTTAGTTTAAAAAGATGGGGGAATTCAATAAACTAGACTTGACTTTCCACGTTTTGATAGCGTAGGTCCACCTTAATTGCTCTTTTCTTTCAAATTCTAACGTTGGAATGTCGCGTCTGTCTGTCCACGGGGTGGGATTCGCCACCACTTTCAACCCGATTCTCGATGACTCTGATGGGTCTAAGTCAATAGGGGACGGGGTAATGGTCTCTTCGTCTGTCAGCATCGCGCTTCTTTATTCTGTTCTTTTCCATTTCCTTTGGGTTTTTTTACCAAACGGGGTCGCGTGCCAAAAAAACAAGATGGAACAGCGGCGGCAGCACGAAAGGTCAGCGTGGTCCCGACCCACTTAGGACGCGACACGTGGATCCACGTCAGCACGCGGGGGGAGGGGTTGGGGGGCCCGCTGGTCTTTCCCTCACTAGATCTAGATCTCACCTTTTCTTTTTCCTATATTTAAAAAATCTGTTCCCTCTCTCTAGACCTGTACGTACATATTTATGTCGCCGGACCTGCACACATTTATTTCACTATCTCTCTTTATCTAAAACGAAGATTTTCTCTCGTCGGTTCTTTTCTTCTGAAGAATAAGAGCGAATGCTGTCTCTCTCCCCTTTCGTTAATTCAAATTTTTGGGTCTCTCGCCTTCGCTCTTAGATTTTGGGTCTTGCTCTCGGATTTTGGCCCTCTTTGGCACTTGCCGTCTGTAGCCTTCGCTCTCCCGCTCTCGTCAATTCAAATTTTGGGTCTTCTTAGATTTTGCTGTCGCTGGCCTTCTCTGCCTTCGCTCTCAGATTTTGCTGCTCTGACGCTCGCCTTCCTTGGCCTTGGCTCTTAGATTTTGCTGTCAAATTTTTGCTGCTCTGGCGCTCGTTCCTGCTCCAGCGCTCGCCTTCTCTGGCCTTCGCTCTCCCTCTCTTGTTAATTTACATTTTGGGTCTTCTCAAGTTTTGTTGCCGAGCGCCTTCTCTAAGCCTTTCGCTCTCAGATTTTGCTGCTCCAACGCTTGCCTCCGCCTCTAGAGCCTCATTGGCGGCTTTTCCTCCAAGAGCCTCGCCCATCGTGGCATCCGTGCTCGAAAAGGACGAGAAAGAAGGTTGGTCCTCATTTGGGCCGTACCCTCGATCGCCGATGCTGCATTACTCCATCTCGAAAAAAGAAAAAAATAATTAAAAAATTATGAAAATTATTCACATCAGGCCGGCCATGCCATATAAGACGGCCGGCGCTGACTAGACTGCCATATTAACATTTTCTTGTCAAAATTGGCTAGAAGGACTGAATTGGCAAAATCGTCAAAAGGTTTAGAAATAAATTTACACATCGTTAAAGGGTTTAGGATTAAATTGACATAATTGAAAAGTTTAGAATTAGATTGGTATGTCGTCAAAAGGTTTAAGACTAAATTAATAAAAAAAGTTTAGGATTAAATCGACACAAGTTCGATAGGTTTATGATTATTTTGGTACTTTTCCTTCTCTTTCTCATGCTAAGGGACATATGGGAGACGGAACAATGATGCTAACATTTCCAAGCACCCGAATAATTAAGTGAGACACCGACAAATTTGAGCGTTGTTTCCGGTGAGTTCTATATCCACCACTATCATGGGGAACGGCTTAGCGTCTCCTTTATGAGTTTTTGACCCGAACTTTCTTTGTTGAGGAATATTTGTCAGGATCTTTCAGAAGATTAAGATGGCTTCATTCACTTTTTTGGACAGCCCGTGGTTTTCCCTGTACATGAAAGAATCGTCGAGGGAGAAAATGTGCTGAAACGGATGAAGCAGGAGTGCATCTTCTCCAAGAAATATGTTGTCCTTCCCATTGTTTGCTGGTTGGCACCTTTTCGTTTCTGAGCTTCCTATGTGTGAGGTTAGTTTTTCTCTGTGTACCAAAGCTTCTCATGTTTTCTCCCCTTGACCCATGTCATTTTGGTGAAGCGGTATCGAAGACACAGAACACCATGCATGATATTGCTCGATTCAATACACATGGCAAACCCTAAGAGACTTGAAACCTGAGATAAGAAAGTACGCTCCATGTGCCCTTTACAGTTCAGCATCTTTTGCTATAAAATCTGCTTCTGCACGTGATTTAAGCCAGCCTTAAAGTCCTGGGCTTCCACCCAGGCTTGGAGTGGACATTCATAAAGCTGAAGCCAAGAAGAGACCAGAAAAGAAACCGGCAACTTCGCAGGTTACGCTCTTGGTGCCTAAGGTGATATTTGCCTCTTAGGTTGCACGGTTAATCCATTCCTTCCATTTATTCTCTCGTAATTGAATGGTAAACTATGAGGTAGGTATCACAACGGAGAAATGGGGAGGAGTGCGGTCGTTTTGTTCTTTTCTTTACTAGCCTATTTGTTGAGAATGCTCCCGAGAATTTTAGTACTTCCAATAAAATTCCCTTTCTCGTCCACTTTGTCTAACCCTCGCTATATGTCATTTCCTTGCCGTGATACACACATATATTTAACATATTTTTGCACATACGCTTCCGCAATTTCCAACAGAAGCATAAAAGCTCCAAAAATCCAATAGTGGTATTAGAGCTAGACACGTTCGGATGGTTTTGACCATTTGTCCTCACCATCCTCAGTTAAATCAAAGCCAGAACCCGAACCTGAGCAAGAGCCAACAGAGCTGGAGCCGCAGCCGGAGCCAGAGACAGAGAGTGTCGTTGGGTTGGTATTGGGTGTTAATCCTAACCGACCTTTCTAAAAACACTCAAGGGTGTCGTTGGGTTAATATTGGACATTTGTCCTGCAATCTCTATTGAAAAACACCAAACTGTATTGCCATTATCAAAACTATGGTAAACTTGCCTCACAAAGACTGCCCATCTCTACTTTCGAAGGGAACAACTATAACTAGGAACATTTTGATGGCCCAAAACATATGAGACACTGTTATAGTAAAGGTATGCTGATTCGAAGGTGAGTGCAAGTGCTCTGGCAAAAGGATGCAAGGGATCGTAGGACGTAGACTGTAAAAAGGCAAGAGACAAACTACATGAAGAATTTTAGGGTACGTCCCCCGAGACATTACAAGACATGTTAGATATATCACGAAAATGGATCAAAGGGGAGTCTTGGGAAATTGGATCACAATTTCCAGAGTCTCTAGATCTCTTCTCAACTATGTCAAGAATGGTGGCTAGCTTAATCTTGAAGAAAGCCTTAAGCGGTGGACAGCTCGAGCAAGTTGCCTAGAATTTGTTGAGAATGGTGGTTGCTGAAGAAGAACATGGACGTGAGCAGCAAACAAAGAGGAAGACGTAAAGTCAAATACTAAGGCTGCTTAATCATGAAACTAGAAGACGAGCACACGCACAGCTAGCAATCAAAATGTCTGTCCGAGTCGGTGCAAGATAAATCCGCGTGAAGAAGGGAAAGACTAGCTTTGTCAAACATTGAGGCTATCTTTGCAAAAGGCGGTCACTAAAAGTCGGTTGAGATGGCCTATGAACAGGCGAGGGATCATTCATGTAATATTGTGTGGGGAGCTAGTGAGCTCATAAATCCACATCCTTAGCTCCTCTGCCTCCATCAAACTATTTTGTTCAACTAATGAAACGATCCTTGAACTCTCCTATATCGTCCCTTGTCCATCATCTACCAAATTATGTCATACATGCATGCACACTTGCACATTAAAATAAAAACTATCATCGATATCAAAATCATATGTCTGCACAAGTCAAAATATCAACAAGTGCAGATGACAGCTACCCTTCTTTTCTTTATTATGTGACCCATTACTTATTACTGTAATTTTTCACCGTGCTTTTGTTTTGAACTGCAGATGAAAGAGGACTGGTTCTGTCCTCAAGACTTGGATCGTTTTCTGCAGTAGACTTATATTTCAATGGTAGATGCAAGTCATAGTTTGAAGATACAGATTTCAGCAAACGTCCGTGGGAAGAATCATCATTGGTGTTACTTAGGAGACTGGTATAACCCTATCCTGAAAGAATACTGAGGAAGAGAAGATCGAGTGGTAGGCAAGACTTTTCTGATCTATTTTGGAAGATGCACGAATGTGGGCATGGAATGGTTGAGGTGAAACCGCAGCAGAAATCGATCTGGAGTTTTCATGAACCGGCTATTTGGAGTTCCAAGAACTGCTTAGAGACTTCCAACAACTGTCAACACTTCATCGAGGGGAAACGTGAGTGTCTTGTTCTTGCTGGTTGAACTCTTTAAGAAGTGACGGATTCATCAGTGAACATTACTTGGCATCAGTAACCTATGAAGATATGCAATAGCGAAGAACACGAGGAGTCAAGACCTGTAGAAATTTGGGCGTATTGTGCACATGCGTTTTGCATATCAAATCATGCCCCTTTTACTCATTCGTTCACATGTCCTCCAAGTACATTAGGAAATCTACATCCTGAAGCTAATATTGTTCAATCAACAGGACTGGAGAACATAAACTATGTGTCGTATCGGTGTCTTCTATTTCAATTCTTGCCTTTTGCCCAATCTGACGTCAATCACTCAAATAAATCCTCTTGCTCACATAGAAGGATTCCAACTGATCAATATCGTGTCTCCCTCACAACGTACGTTTCAACCGTCGATCGAAATGGCTCTGGATTCCTAGAGGTCACCGGGATCTAATAATCCTTATTCTCCCTTAGCTTATGTCTGTCCTGACTAGGTATGTTATTGTGTAGATATACATATGAGGGAATGATATGAGAAGGCATTTATAATCTTTTCAATGAATCAATTGAGGCTGTAAAACTACAAAACCGACAAGCATTCACTCCGCCACCAACCCTATCTTATATACTCTCCAACACCTTTCCTTGCAACAACTTGGCAGCTTCAGATTAGCTCCTATTTTTTATCACAACCTTCAGCCCTCCTGCCATATGGGCAGTCAACAGAGGCACAAAAACGGGCCGGTTCTCAAGAACTGGTCTGATCTCGAACCTCCTCAATATCGACGCCACGACGTACGTCATCTGGATGAAGGCCATCTCCTTCCCGAGGCACACCCTTGGACCGGCCTGAAAAACCGGGAACTTGTACGGGCTCACCATTCTCAACTCCCCCTCGGCACTGCCTTCAATTCCCGGTCCGACCAGCCAACGGTCCGGTTTAAACTCAAACCGATCCTTCCCCCACAGCTCCTCCATCCTTCCCATCCCATAGGGGAAGTACGTCACTCTATCCCCCTTCCTCACCGGGGTACCGTCCGGCAACACGTCATCGACCGTGGCATGCTTTGAGTCCCACGCAACCGGCGGGTAAAGCCGCATCGATTCACAAAGGCATGCCTTCAGGAACCTCATCTCCTTCAAGGCTTCGAAGTCCAAGCACTTGTTATTGCTTCGGTCAAGAACCGAGTCAACTTCGCTCATGATCGCTTGCTCGGCAGTCGAGTTCTGAGCGAGCAGCCAGAAGAGCCACGTCATGGCTGCCGATGTGGTGTCTCTTCCGGCCATCACAAAGCTTATCACCATGTCCCGCACCATCTCCTCACTGTGACCGGCCGCAAGAAACCGCGACAAGAGGTCCCCGTCATAGTTTATCTGCTGATCATCATTCTCTTGGAGCAGTTTCTTCTTCCTGTTCCGGATTATATCAAGTATATCACCATGCACGAGCTTGACAGCTTCAGCAAGCTTCTTTTCAGACCCGATGTTCAACGCCCTCTTGATCTTCCAAACCAGATAGACTGGGGAGGTAGCCCTCATTGCACATATCCTCGACGCATTTTCGAAGGCAATCACCAGAGGCGGCAGCGGGCGCGAGAGGTCAAGGCAATCCGGGTCGGTGCCTAGAGAAACTTGGCACACGGTGTCGAAAGCGAACCTTCTAAGCAAGTCTTGAAGGTCCAGGGTTCGATTAGTATCGGCATAGTCTTGGAGAAGCGGCAAGAGCCGGTTCTCGACTTCAGCTTCAAGCGTCCGCACGACGAAGTCCCTCAACGAATTGGTGCTGAACTCATGGCTGGCGAGCTTGCGCTGGGTGGTCCAGAGAGGACCGTCGACGTTGAAGATGCCGCAGCCGAGAAAGTCGCCGAGGATGCTGGTGAAGGGGATGCCCTTGGGGTAGTTATGGAAGTTGGCCTTGAGGACATGCTCGACGTTGCTAGGGTTGGCGGTGACGACGGTTCGGCATGCGCCGAGCCGGTGAATGACGATGGTCTGGGTGGGGGCTCGGGACAGGAGGTCGGTGTACCAGTCGAGGAGGCGGAAACGGTTCCGGTAGAAAGAGAGGAGACATCCTATGATGGGATGAGAAGGAGGGCCATGGCAAGATGGTGTTTTCTTGCTGATGTTTTGGTGAAAGAGGGAGAGGAAGACATACAAGATCACAGAAAACCCTACAAACAGGAAAACAGACATGATGAGTTTGCAGCGCGGGATGTTGAGGGATTATGGTTGATATAGTGTGAGATCGGGAAGAACCTAAGAGCTGATCTATATATAGGTACGTACATCCTGTAAAGGTTGAGGGATGCAATGAGACGGAGAGGCATGTATATCTTCTAGAGAGAGAGAGAGTTGAATGGCAGAAGAGAGAGAGAGAGAGAGAGAGAGAGAGAGAGGACTAAGTAAAGAAGGGTTGAAGTCACCATCCAAAATTTCTACAACGTGTAATAGATGAGAGATATTATGGGGGTCAAACCGTGGCGTCGGGGTTCGATTCGACGGCGATGTTTGGGCGGACATGGACCCGCGTCCGCGGACAAAGCGGGGACGCTGCCAATGACTTTTTGATCACCACATGCACATGCCCACCTTCGGAAGACGAAAATCAATTAGAAAACGTGGGAGATAACCCAAGACGAAAATAAGAAAAGCAGAATAAAAAGAGTTCACATGGTTCTCGAGCTTCCAAAAGGGACGGGGACCGCATGCGGAATTGCAAGAAAGATGAACTGATTGCGAGACATGTTTTGCGGCGGGCTAGTACGTGTCCTAAATCGCACAGCGCCTGCCCCCCAAGAGAAGAAAAGGATGGGAAAAGATGGGGCCAAAAGGATCTTTTGCAACTGTACAAAACAATAAGAAAGATGACTCGGGCAGTCATGTTGGTATCCACGTTCACGTGCATCCATGGAATTAAAACAATCAGCTCGTGGGAAATGTGAGCACATATATACCATCACACGCATGTGGTTGCGCCGAGATGCCTATGTTTAATAGCAACAAAATCAATTTAGCCGCACGCCTAGCCGACATACATAAACATATATCATTGTCCGTATGGTCTAATAGAAAACAGCACCATGTGATAAGTGCCAATGTCAAATTTTAATTAGGGTGAGTTTGTTTCATTGGAAAGAAATTATGGGAGAGCATTTTCTAGACTTTTCAATGTTTGGATCTTTTGTTGGACAGGATAATAACGGAATTTGCGATATCTTATACGGTATTTGGTAAATGTCCGGACGTAACATGGATAAAACACAAATTTTGTTCTCTCTCCCCCTCCATCTTTGCACCGTTGTCATCGGGCCGGCGTCACCGTTGCCTTACACCACCACTTGTCAAGTCTTCATTCGCATCGCCTCACCTTGTCATGCCATCATCGTCGGTCATTGCGTTTCAATACTTGATACTGCAACCCGTGTAGCCTCACTATCGCCTCAAATGGCATCCTCAGCCTTGGGTGACACCAGACGTTCTCCGAACCTTCTGTTGCGCTCCAAGATCTCCACTAGCCCGTTCAAGCATCACCACAAGCCAACGTCAGTTGTAAACATGACGAGGAAAACCCTAGAGTGGCGAATCACGTTGAGCAGCTTGGGCTCGATTAAAATCCTAATCTCCACTTTATCATCGTCCTTGAAATAGTAGATCCCACTGCGTAGAAGAGGTGGGCCACCACGGTCTTCCTTATGTCCTCACCTCCGAAGCTCATGAACATGTAATACTTTTACTGATGAAGCGAAGCAAAAGACAAAATGCATCGCTTGATTTCTTCAATTCCCATGTTGACAATGCGTGATTGAGCGAGAGACTGCGAAAAAGATAGAAATTTTTTCTTATAGGCGATATGCATAGGACACGTAAGTTGTGAATGAGAAGAGACGAAGAATGAAAGCTCTCTCTCTCATCCTCACTAACTTCCTGATGTCATTTTCTCTGTTTCTTATTTGATAAATCAACGACTCATGTTCTATTTATTGTAAAATAATACTTTCAATATGGCAAAAGGATACTAGAAGTGCCAAAAGTTTCGTACGGCGCTCACTTAGTACTAAAAATTTTTTTTGGATCACTTGAGCTCCATTTAAAAAAAAAAAAAAAGGTTACTTAAGTGCTAACTTCGATTTGGGTTGTTGACAATCCGACATTGCCATTTTTTTCCTAATTTCTTAGATTGACGTGGGTTGGTGGAGTGCTCAGTCAGTATATAACCCCTAAACTACATTGTCTAGAAGGTTTACCCAAATAAAAACCCTAAATCGCCAAATTGAAGTAAATTCTCAAATGTGAAACCCTAATAACCATTCAATCAAAAATCGATATCCTAATTCGGTTTGCTCGAAAAATTAACAACTCAATCTTGCAAATGGGGAGCAGGAGCTTCATGAGCGACTCAAATTCATTTCAACGAAGTGAAAAAGAAGCTGGATATTACTGTTATTGTGTGCTACTGAGGCCAAGAACATCTTAGACTCGGTTGAATCGCGAGAGAAGATTCCATGGATGTACTAGGTATAGAGAAAGCTCGAAGTACAAATATTTCAAATGGGTCGATACGAAATTCTTAGGTCTAGCGACGAAGGTGATCTTGGAGCTACTTGAAAGACGACATCAACCTCCACCTACATTAACAAATGAGTTGGACGATGTCGACTCAATGCAAGCAGGAATGAAGGCTCTAGCATCTTTGGCCAACTACTTGAAAAATGAAGTTTCAAGGATGAAAAGTGAAAGAAAGTGTTATTGAGTGTTGATTGTGTTGTTTTTCACTTGTTTGGCATATTTTATGTTTAAATATAAATTAAGTGATGAGAAGAAATTTCACATCAAATTTCATAATGCTAGAAAAAACACGACATGTAATATTCGAATCATAATAAGGATATTTACTCTTCCTTCTACGCACAACTACTTCATCATCTTCATTCTCATTCTCTGAACTATCAATCTCATCATCACCACCACTTTCTTTGTATTAAGTTTCATTACCAACAGCTAGAGATCCTTCATCCCTATATACAGGTTGAGATTCATGTGATTCTCCAAATGCTGCAACTTTTTTTTCTAGAAATTCCTTCTACTTTTGTCTTGACTGTGCAAGTTCCTCATCATCATCATCATCATCACTTGGGTAATTTACATTTGCCAAAGTTCCATCATCCGATTCATTGGATAGAGCAACTTCCTAATCTAATCCAATCAATTCTTCATCACTTATGTTTTCACCAGAGATTCTGGGACATATCCCCGTTTGTTGAACTCTCTCTAACACTCGCTATTGCCTTGCTTGCCTCTCCTGTTCTCCTTCGTTTAAAATAGATTTATCCCAACCCGAGTACTCGGTTCAATACTATCTCCTACTTCTCTTACTCGAGTGCTCTCATAATCTTCATCATCATCATAATACTCAACATACACATTAACTTTCTTGCCATGAAGATAATGGTAAACAATATCCTTAATACCATTATCATCATGGGAGTATCTCAAACCATTCTTCAAGCTCTTCCCAGGAACACAATAGTGCAATTTTTCTATTTTGCATCAAACCGTTACACTATATCGCTCACGAAGTCAATATATGATGGCCTCTTTACATCGACAATGACAGTACCTTCATTTCCACCATATTCGCTCATTGCTGCTAATAACAAATTCCCACCATAGCAAACAGTGATAGCTGCAAAAGTGTTCCCTATGCCAAAGCTACACCCAAGAAAAAATAAATAATTAGCTTTTAGGATCACAACGCAGAAAGGACGACAACTTCATATGCAGGTCCCCACAATCGCACCTAATTGATTAAATAATGATTCAGCAGTTGTTATTCAATAGACTGAAAGCAACAAAGCTAGCACCCAATTGATAAAACAAATTGAGGACCACACAATGACAACTTCACTGTTGCACGATTCCTTCTCTAGCACTATATTGCGCCAAGAACCCAAATTTTTCCTTCCAAGCCCTAATTTTCCCTCCAATTGAGCTACCCTAAATGAAATGGCTCCCTACCAAAGTAAGTATTCACTTATGGTCACTTTGGTGAGATTTACAACAATAAGATATTTAAATCAACTAATGCACTAAAGTATCCCCCCTTTTTCATGTTTCTTTAAAATCAACGACGAGTCAATTCCGATGTGAGGTATCCAACCAATTTTAATATCCCTGCTATATGTTATTAGCACTTTTGTACACGAGTGACAAGACAAATCTCAGATCAAGTACTAATGTGAACTGTTGTTTGTGGACTTGGAAGAGCACCATATGAAAATCCCTACCTAGATACGTTGCTTGATTTGGAGAAAGAGATAGAGAGAGATAGAGGAGAAGGAGGAGATTTGAGGAGATGCGCACGGTCCGATCCGTCTGCGATCGAGAGCCCCACATGATGATTTTGATATCAGCGTCACCTGTCGGCAGGTATGAACTGGAAGGAGCCGAGCTGATGTCGACGGTGTAGCGTAAGAGCCACGAGGGACTCTCCAACGTGCACGTGGTTGAGAACGAATGAAACGTCGACTGAGCGACGATTGGGTGGCGGTGGCATTCAAGAGGGTTCCGTCGTTGAAGGCGGCATCCACTTGCTCAGACGCCGGGGGGGTGAGACTCTCTCTCTTGTCTGCGCCACCACACTCTTTTTACGACCACCCCCACCCGTCTCATAGCGCATTCTCATGCCTATTTCCCTTCGAGACATTAGTCAAAAGGATATGCTGCTGGGAATGGAGGCGTCATCGAGTTATATTCTTCTTTTTCCCCAACTAGGACACGATGGAAGCTGGACAAAGTCACGTTTGATTTTGATGAATGCATGTGGAAAGTCAATGAGCTTGGTTTTCCCTATTGCCCAACTCCAGATCTATTTATGGTGTTTCTTGTCAAGCGGGATTTGGTGATTCTTTAATTGAGATTAGGGCGTGTATTCGCATGTGATGGGGACCAGGGCATTAGGAGAACATAGAGGAAGAGAAAAGGAGCATGTGAAATGCAATCCCTTTTCTTTGGAAGGAGTAATTTATTTCCATGCTATGGAATACGTGAGATGAGATTGCATGCATTTCAATTTATTATTCCCTAGTTTCTAGCAAATTTTTTTTTATTATTCCCTAGTAACGGGTGTACGAGTTACTTGTAAGTTGTAAAAGATGACCATCTAAATAACGAGATCTTCAAGCTCTCGTATCACGATTACAATATCAATTACCATCAATCAAAGATATGACGAATTTTCTAATTATATCTAACAATGGTAAAAGTTCTATTGCGAGGTGCCATAAGAACATACTTTATTCAGGCTCATCCGTTATGAGGGAAAATTACCAAAAAAGTCCTAAACCTTTTGCAATTGTGCCAATTCAGTTCTAAACCTTTTTTTTTTGCCATTTCAGTCCTAAACCTTTTGTAATTGTGTTAATTCAGTACATCCGGCCACTTTTGGCAGGCCGGCACTGATGTGGACGCCAGCCAGCCGACGTGGCATTATTTTAATATTTTTTTTCCTTTCTCTTTTTTTTTTCTTTCCTTTTTCTCCCTGGCCGGACCGGCCAGGGAAAGGCTCGCCGGCGAGGCCGACCTCGCCCGGCCATGGCGAGGTCTAGCTTGCCGGCCATGGGCAAGGTCGAGCTCGCCCGGTGACGGCGAGGTCTCGCCAGATCTGGCGAGGCCTCACCGTCGCCGGGCGAGCTCGACCTCGTCCATGGCTGGCAAGCTCGACCTTGTCTAGATCTGGCGAGACCTCGCCGTCGCCGGGCGAGGTCTCGCCAGATCTGGGCAAGGCCTCGCCGTCGCTGGGCAAGCTCGACCTTGCCCATGGCCGGCGAGGTCGAGCTCGCCCGGCAATGGCGAGACCTCGCCGGCGAGCCTCCCCCTGGCCGGTCCGGCCAAAGGGAAGAAGGAAAGGACAAAAAAAAAGAGAAAGGAAAAAAAATATTAAAATAATGCCACGTCGGCCGACCGGCGCCCACGTCAGCGCTGGCCGGCCAAAAGTGGCTGGATGGACTAAATTGGCACAATTGCAAAAGGTTTAAGACTGAAATGGCAAAAAAAAAAGGTTTAGGACTGAATTGGCACAATTGCAAAAGGTTTAGGACTTTTTTGGTAATTTTCCCTCCATTATGATGCGGAAATGCACAAATTCTCAACAGGAACGGGTCACTTTTCGAAACACGTTCCATTTAAGATGTTTGAAGTGTCTTCACGAGTCTATAAAAAAAAAAAGGTTTAGGACTGAATTGGCACAATTGCAAAAGATTTAGGACTTTTTTGGTAATTTTCCCTCCGTTATGATGCGGAAATGCACAAATTCTCAACAGGAACGGGTCACTTTTCGAAACACGTTCCATTTAAGATGTTCGAAGTGTCTTCACGAGTCTTTTTTGCTACTTTTAGTAATCTTAACTAGGCTTCTTCTTTTGTTAATTACGCGACATGTGGCTGCCCCTTTCATTTCAAAAGGTTTTCCAAAAAAAAGAAAAGAAATTATCCTTCTGCCTTCCAATGAAGGAAAAATGCTTGCATTGGCTGTCTTATAGATCGATTCACGTGACCGAAAGGCGGTCTCATCAGTTTGGGCAAAAACTAGACCCGACAATTGATAAGTGGGATACAATCTCAGCTTGATTAGAAGTAGAAGAAGAAGGAACTCCTTTACGTGTAGCTATTTGGATGTACCAAAGTGATACGTTCACGGGACCGTGGTCAGTATATGTCGCATTTGATTCGAATGTGATATGACAAAGTAATTAAGGTAAGCGAGCGTGTCTTGTGTTTGCGTGTCCAAATGAACCGATATTTCAGCACGTTGCGGCACGAGCGAAAACGAAGTGACTCAGAAGAAAAGTTCGGGTTAGGCGGAAAGTAATCGAAGGACGAACACCAAAGGACACGCCATGGACGTCTCATTCCATAAGAAAACTAGTTCTTAAAAAGAGAGAGAGGTAAAATCTCTCGGGAGCTAGTGCTACATTGCCGTGCTGTTGGGGCGTTTAGGTCATTCACAGCACGTGAAGCATTGGAATCACGTTTCTCTTCCTCCTTGCATCCGAACGGGGGACCTTCTCTTCACCTTCTTTTGTGGAACTTTTGGTACGACAATGGCGGATCAACTTTCTCGTGACTTTATCAGCACTGTCGTCCCACCGTTCGATGGGTCGGTCGCGAATGAGAAGTGCGTCCTTTTCATGGAAAAAGGCTAGAGAGAGAGAGAGAGAGAGAGAGAGAGAGAGAGAGAGAGAGAGAGAGAGAGAGAGAGAGTTACCACCCAAAAGCTTATTCAATAAACTAGACTCGAACGTAGTAGAACGAGGAATTCCCACATTTAGGATAAATGCTCTTTCATATATTCTAAGGTCCGAATCTTTACATTGTTCGCCTGCAAATCGCGTCGCAGACTATGTTTTTAACATGAATTTCTCTCTCTCTCTGTTCCGGCATTCTTTGGTATATTCCTGTTCTTGATGATTCTGATCGTGAAGTCAATGGGTATGGTCATGTCATCTGTCACCATCGCGCTTGTTGTTCTTTTCTTCTTTTCTTTGGGTTCTCTTACCATATGGCTCGCGTGCTAAAAGGTCTAGGGAAGGACGAAGGCACAACCGCAGCCAAAAAGAAAGAAACGGGTCGCTCTTCCAAATCCACATAAATCATCACGATCAGACCACCTTAGCCTACAAAAGTAGTAGACTTGCTGAAGTTTTGTGCCCACCGCCGAGGGCCCGCCCCCATCCCCATCCAATTCAATCACAACCACTCCACTCGCGGCGCAGTTGCTGCTGCCCCGTCCCTATTCCAATGATCAACTTTGAAAAAAAGAGGTCAGGTCCCTATTGCCTCACCGCCCCCATCGCAAACAACAAATCTGTCTCCATCGGAGCTGCGATTAAGTAGTGACCCCCAACCTCCCCCGATGTGATCGACTCAGACGTGATTTCGCCAATATTGGTGACGCAATTGGCCCGACCCCATCAGTCAATCGGGCTTTCAAGGCCCATGCTTGTCTCCATATATCCTGAGTATCATTTGCCATGATGATCCGGCTCATGATGCCAAGTTTAAAGAAAACCCACATTCCCCAAAAGAAAAAATTACAACGTTCAGCATAGACCCCTCAAGAACATAACCAACCAAACTGTACAGTTTGACACACCAACATCTGGACTAGTCACTCTCCCTTCAAGTTAGTGTGAGTTCGGTTCCCCAGTGTTCGGCCCCCTACAATATTTTCCAAACCTCTATCACAACCAGCACTTAACCTTCTCATCCTTTCTTTAGGTGTTCAGTACAATATGAGAGCTTTACTCAACCTTTCTCCTCGGGAACCTTAGCCACTTGTACCCTTTAAGCGCGCAATCAACTCATCCTGGACATGTGAAGAAACTGATCAGTATATGCAGATGAATTCGTGATACCAGGATAGTCGTCAGTCCAATAAATAAGACGAGACAATCAGTCCAATGAACAAGCAGATTCATCCATTCAAGCTGCCAACTCAGCATTACCAACGTAGAGTGTTTTTTTTTTTTTAAACCAAAAACCAACTCAAAGATGTATTAAAAAGAAGATGCTCACCTTCTTGCCTTTAAGAGAAAGACCTTTTTCCTTGAGAAGTGCACGAAGCCTCTCCACGGTCAAACTGTGCAATTCCTTGTCCGTTAAATGAATGCTTGAACCCTCTGTAATTCAGATCCCATTAAAACTATGAAACAGCCAAACCTCAATACTTGTTAAAAGGGATTAAGATGTATAATGAAAATTACACGAAAATAAATTTCCTCCTTTATCAGTTCTTCATCCTAGTCCTCCCTCTCTCTCTTCAGAATCAATATGCTAGCTTTCTCATCCCCTGCCCCCAACCACCCTTTCCCTTCCCCCCATTCCAAGAAAAAAAAGGGGCAAAAGAATAGAAGCTACTTTTGCAAGACAAGATAGAATATCCATAAAATAACCAGTTGTAGACGTCCATAGATTGTTGTTTACAGTGATCATATGGTCAATATAAGAAGGATATTGGATATGCCAGTTAAGCCCTACAATTGCTAGAAAAGGTCGCTTCTTCAATAACCTCAAATGAGACCACAAAAAATAGCCAACACCAACACCATGACTTAAAAGAAAATCCTTCAGTGACTATACATTGATATGATCAATGAAAAGTTTTGCCATTATTATGCAAAAAATCAAACCATGAAAGATTTATCTCTATTCAAACAACAATAAGGAAATCGCTGCAGTCGTAAGATGAAATGGATGCCCCTTCATCCATTCATCCAGTCAGTGAAGAAATTTCTCTCTCATATTTTTAGCTGTGAAGAATATGGTGTGTAACTTGTACTACAACCATAAAAGGTGAAAGAAGCAATGTCTTACCTTGTCGAGAACCAGCCTGACCAGCAGGTCTCTTAGATGATGTCCCACTATCCAAAAGTCTCTCGGATGCTCTGCAAAAGCAAAATGATTGCCCTCGTAATCATGAAACAAGAAGAAAGATGACCGGAAAAAATCGGGTCCCTATAGTTGCTTTACAGTAAATACGAAACCCATCACTAAGCAGACTGTTTACAGTTGCTACAAATGCAAGCAAAGCCACATATCTCACAATTGAATATTGAATACCTCTTCCTAGAACCTTCAGCTATAGTCACACCCTTTGTATTCCTCGAGCTAGGATCTCCCCTCTGTTTCTTGATTGTGAGTGCTCTTATCAGTATATTTTGTTGGTTTGTCCTTATCACTTGCCCCTCTGCATATGAAAGGGAGGTCAGTTCCTAACATTCCAGAGCTAGTCATGTGCTTTGACAACACCCAGATGGGCTACATATGCTAGTAAACATGAGCGAACGCAAACAGATGTCATTACATATGAAACGAGGCCATTAGCAAATTCACCTACGTTTTCCCCTCTTCTCCATTTCTCTGTAAATAAACATTAGTATGCATGATACGAGAGCGGCAGAGTCTACACCACACGATTACTAGGATCATGAAACAAGTGTTGGAAGTGGGCAGAGTACAGCACACAAAAACTGCAGAAGGAAATAACCGCTTTGAATTTCACTGTTATGTATGAGCATCAAACACAAGCATTAGTAGTCGTAGGGACCATGATGATCTATATCTAACTATAAGTGTTGGTAACGGATAATGTACAGCCCACCAAGTTTTTAGTTGAGCTTTTGTTATTAAACTGGGTATAGGTATTATTGTAGACATGATCTTGTCAAATGGCCAAGAGCTTTTACTTGATTAACCTATACAGCTTCTCTTAAAATTTGAAGGAGACAGTCTTTTCTTTTCCTCTTTTCCAAATGATCAGCTACCCAATGAACGCTAGCAGAAACCTAAGAAGATCCAGAATTCAAGAGGTGAAAACCTGGCGGTGATGTGTCATGCTCACAAACGTAAACTCGCATTCCGCCCTGCAAAAATTCGCGATTTTCAGTTTAGAAATAAAACTGGTCATTCACTAGATGCTCGGGGAGGCAAATGAACCAGCAAGTGCAAGAAAAAAAACAAAAGGGTCATCTTTACTCGGGGGAAGACACTGAGGAAGAATTAACCAGGATGCAAAATACGCTCACACTCGAGACCATCCCAGTAAATTAGACCTCGAGAGAGAGAACTCCAAAAAGCACTGGTTTTTTCTAGCAAAGTGGGCGTAATCAAAAGCAAGGGCTCATTAACGGGAGAAGGAAATCAGAGACATGTATTGGAATCGGAATTCCCATTCCACCCCCCAAAAAAAATCCCCAAGGCGCGCGGTTTACAAAGAACGCAAAGTCACGGCAGGGAACAAATTGGAGCGCCCCACTCGAGCACTGCTCAGTACCAATTCCTGCCCCCGAAGTCAGAGCGAACACCGAATTGGACAAGTGAGTGTGTGCGTAGAGTAAAATCCGAGGAAGCTACAAATGCCGATGACCCAGAAGTGCATAGGCAAGATCAACTAGACCGCGAATGGAGGTAATAATGCGGGAAAAGCACGACGGTTGGACTGACAGAGACTAGGGTTCCGGGGGCGGAAAAAGAGACGGCCAGTGAGAAGAGAGAGAGAGAGAGATCACCGGATTGGGGGAGAGGACGGTGGAGGAGAAGAGGCCACGAGAGGGGAGGTTGGAGAGGAGCTTGGACGCCGCCGGATTCGGCGGCGGCGGCGGGTGGTGGCTGGAGGTGCCTTCCATGGCGCCGGAGGGAGGGAGGGAGACCGGGCGCCGCGCCCGGCCGAGGGATGCGCGCGAGAGAGGAGGAGAGAGAGAGAGAGAGAGAGAGAGAGAGAGGGGGGCGACGCGAGTCAATGAGGAAGCAACGAAACGCCCCCCCTTTGATCCCGAAAAATATTTACCACAAGTGACTAAAGTGTGCGGTTTTTGTCTATTTTACGGTGGTCAATTCGATTTTCGACATTTTTGTATTCTGTCAATTTAATCCTAAATTTTTTCGCGAAATTCCAACGCACTCCTTCTAGCTAACTTTTGTCGGGAATCGTGGACGTGACAATGTATCACGTAAGACGATCGGTGATTTTTCTGAAGAGAGTTGGCTAGAAGGAGTGCGTCAGAATTTCCCGCATAAGTCTAGGACTAAATTGGCATAATGTGAACATGTTTAGGACTGAACTGATATCGGTACAATAAGTGTAGGACTGATTGGAATATTTTCTCGTTTTAATTACTCATATATTGGTCGGGTTTATATTCGACAAAAAAATATATCTCGATCGAGTTTATATTCAATTCTAGGTTCTTGTTAGTCACCATCTCAAATTATATATTAACGGTTTTGAGGTACTCATTCATTAGTCGAGTTTGAGTTTCAAGTGATTTGATAATTGAGTAATGTCACGAAAGTCTTCTCTTGATATATGAAGATCAAATTAAAGCCCTCCGATGCAGGGAGTTTGAGAATGATGTGGGAAATATAAGAATGAGGACAGTCAATAAACCTAAAGTATCCGATGATGAAAGTTGGATAATGGTCAAATCTCACTTGTGTTTGCCTCCGAAAACAACTTGCCACTTTCTCATGCTCACTTTTATCATCATTTACGTTACTTCTAAACTGTTATAAATGGGGCACGAGTCAATGAATATAGTGAAAAGCTACTGGATATATGATTCGTAGAATGATGTGATATATACGCGGCGTCTTTTCTGACCAAACGATGCTCTCAATGGTGATCGTCCTCATCCTCCTGTCGATTTGTAAAATGCCCTTCATGACGAATGGATAAGATGAATAATAAGACAAGGCGGGATTTAAGATTGTCAATTCAACTCTGATTGAATCTCTTCAATGTCCATTTAAATAGGGGAGGGAAATTACAATATCCTATCGTTCCATTTCCCTCCATTTCCTTCAATCTCGTTTCTAAAGTCAAGCCACCGAAACATAAAATGAACCCAACGCATTGGCATCGGGTAGTGTCTTGCTTTACATTGCTTGTAGCAGAGTGACCTCAATATCTCTCTTTTCATTCAACATACAATAGTGCTTTGCTTTAAACGAGTAACTTCAATTCTCCTTTCCCCATTCTTTGTCACGAGTCTTTGCCTGTGTAGAAAAGCTATCATCGTTCGCACTTTGCTCATAGAAAGACATTCTTTTCGCAACAAGGTGTACTGATGAACTTTTCTCAGAGGAGAGCTCACTCGTAGTGATAGCCAAAAAGAATCACTAGTCACGCGGATCTACCGTTCAATCTAGTACAATGCATGTCCCTGGTTGTACCTAACGAACTTTGATTGCGAATTCTTGCCATCTGCGTTTTTCTGTTGTTGGGTAGCGCGTCATCAGAGAGTGATGGAAAACGATCATACTCTCTTACAGGCTAGAAGCAGTTGGCTTTAGAACAAAGAAGGCTGTCACATCATTTACCTGAAACACATTGCGGGCGCTTTTGCATTGCTTGTAGCAGCAGAATCACATTCCCTCGGAACCAGTTGCCTTTAGTACAAACAAAGCTATCAAATTTCGTTCTTGAAACACATTGAAGAGGTATTTTCAGAACAAACAAACAAACTTGTCCTTCTTACATTGCATCAAGGGATAGAAAAACCGTTCGTATTTTCGATGTTAGACTTCTTCCAAGTTTATATAGCTGAATATACTTGCATGCACCTGTCACAGCCCAATTCCATATTTGGATAATAGGAAATGACCTGCCACACTTTCATAGGATACAGGCGAAGCCTTTTAACGTAAACACTTCATTTCTACCATACTCTCGATAGAAGGAAAGAAAACCCTTTTAACTCCATCTCATTATAAATCAGGATCCAGAATGAGGATGATGAGAGGGCCGATGATTTGACCAAATTGCACGCATAAGCCATATGTATTGCAATGAAACAGTACAATTACCGAAATACTGGCACGCCAAACAAATGACGAATATTAATTAGCACAAGTAGGATAAGGCTACAAGACGGCCTCCTCAAAATTGATCAAAATTTGTTCCTTTTGTGGCCTATGTTTTCTGACCTGCAGTAAAGAGGAGATGGGAAAATATATTTGGTCAACATGATATATTGAAATAGCAAAAGTCATTGCTCGAGACTCGAAGAAGACGAAGTAAAAAATAAGCATCTGCATTATTGAACCCTTCAGAGGTGTGGATATGTATGGCTGTGGTGGATTGGATACTTTAATGTGACAGCCTAGCAGTTTGCCCCACAAGCCCCTAACACCACTAGTGCCCCTCCACGAGGTTGAGTATCAGTTAAATCACAGAGACAGAAAACTAAAAGAGGAGGAAAGGAAAATGCACAGGGTTTCCAAGAAGGCTTACTCTCACACCAGCCATTGACAGAAGTTTGTGAGATGCAATATATTCGACCTCTGAATTGTTGAGCCTCTTCTCCACAAAATATATAACTTCAGAAACTCCTGACTGCAACATTGGAAGAGATCCATAAAACTTAATTTTTAGATATCCCAAAATCTCCTAGGAGGCCAGGGAGGGGAATTGCCAATAGTAGATTCATACGCAACAAGTCTGCTCTCATTACAAGGAACGTTGATTACATAGTCCGGGCTCCTTCGAAAACCTTTGAAAAATCATTTAGCCTAAAAGAGAAGTGTTTAGCTCCCAGAAAGTAAATCGAATCCAAGCAAAATCTTGTTTGATTTGTCACCCTAAAAGAGATTATCATTGGACATTCTACTGCAGCTTCTGACATCAAAGCTGCATGTGAAGAGCACGAAATATGGCTACGGGAGAACACTAATCTGGCACTAGTAAACTTTCTTCCGAAGTAAGATGAAAAGTCGAGGAACATTACCGTGAGTCATACTAGCTTGAATATGGTAATTACCTGAATAATAATCTTCGCACATTCATTGCAAGGAAACATCGTCACATAAAGTTTCTACAAGTCAACAGTCAAAAACCACCTTAGCCATTTTCAGCACAAAAAATTTCAGACAAGGTTCCAAGGATTGTTAAAGAAGAATAAGGAAGTTATAGTTGATCAATCTTCCTGAGAATAATTGTTCACACGTAACATTACAATAATTCAGAAAATGTGATAACCTGTCCAGCAGCAGAAGCGTGGTTCGTGTTGAGGATAGCATTGACCTCAGCATGACACACATATCTAAAAGAGAAGACAAAAAGGGGTCGTAATGAAAACCAAGACAAGTCTATAAAGTCATCAGAAGGGTGATGGATGACTACTGGTCAAACATCTGCTCAAGCCGAGGTTTTGAGCTGGATTACAGTGTTCATCTATTCAACATTTGGGCAAAAAACTATATTTGGCATTTGAGCCCCAGTTCGGATTCCTGCTATGAATATATGTAGATGAGCGAAAGGTAGGAGGAAAACTGCCAGACACTTACGGGTATTTCGTGTCCAAAGGATCCCCGGATTTGGATTTCTGCGAGGAAAAAGAGAGCATAATAAAAGAGGGGACAAATTGATACCGCTTTATACATTATAAATGTAGAGATATTCTTTGTTTCATGCAGATACCTTGGCCCAAGGAAGCTTGTCATCGGAACAACCTCTGGGAAATCCATTGTAGCCAATGCCTGTCGGAGGACAGTCGTGAGGAACTCGTGGCAACAGTTTTCTGGTGCTATCCTATCAGAGTTGTTGGTTATGCACAAAGCCAGAACAGAGTTCCCAAGAATCCAAAACTATATACAGTACCATGGTATGAAGTAGAAAAGCAAGGGGAAATCGAATAGAATGGAGTTGAATAACTTTAAATGCCACTCGCATCTAGTGTTACATTCCTTCTTCATAATTTACACTAGATAGCGAAAAAGGAAGGTCGTGCATTTCTCGCAACCATGTAAATCACTCAATGACTTGTTCCAGAAACAAATGGAATACTAAATTGATCAGCTCTAACAAGTAAACCACACATGAATCTACCAAATAGACATGAAGCTTATGGCATCGTAGACGGGACTAACCGAGTATAATCCCATTCTGGCTCACCAAGCACGCGCCAACCTGCGGCACGGACACACGCACCAAGAAGAATTCAACACTAGCTATGGAAATTAGAAAACACCAAGTTCCAGCAAGGAGAAGGAAACGGCGTAAGCAGAGAAGGGACATGGGCCGTCAGCATGAAGCCCGAGGAATGCGGAATTATGACCTGCCTGTTGGGGTCCTTGGATCTTTCGGCCGACAAGAAGGCGATGGCCATGAAATAGTCATCCCAAGATAGGTACCTGAAGGAAGGAAAAAAACAACAAATCGAAGAGAAAGAGAGAGATGGGCACTCTCAGAAACCCTAAACAGCTATGAGAAAAAACGAAAATGAAGAAGAAGACGGTGATAACTTGAAGAAGCTGGGCAAGCGGCAAAGAAGGAACCAAGAGAAAACGGTACCCTTGGCGTTTAGAGGGGTCGAAAGGAGAGGGCTTGCCGGGGACGGGCCCGTTGAGGGGAGAGGAGGAGCGTTCGTGTTGATTGTTATGCTGCTGCTTCTTCGTCTTCGTCTTCTTCTTCAGGGGATTGAAGTTGGAGAGAAAGCCAAGAGCGACGGCGGAGGCAAGAGCCCCGAAGAGAGTGGCTGAGGTCACCAGGCTCACCTCCCGACAGTTCATCGATTCGAGACGGAAGAATCTGCGACTGCGACAGCGAGATGGAGGTTGGGGAAAAGTAGCGGGAAACCAGAGGAACAACAAAGAAGATGGAGAGGAGACAACTGGGTCGTAAAAACACCAAGTATCATTTATGGTCGTCCACCTCACGCGTGTGGAGATGGCCGAGTTGGTCTAAGGCGCCAGATTAAGGTTCTGGTCCGAAAGGGCGTGGGTTCAAATCCCACTCTCCACACACACAACACTCTCTCCCTATTTCTTTCTCCTTTTGCTGTCTGCACTCTGCAGCAGAAAAAGCAATCATCTTTTCTGATCCTCAATCGATCAATCATACATGATCATTTGTGGGTCTCGTCTTTTTTCGTAAAGATTTCTGTTAAAGTGTTTGAATATGCATCCTCCGCGTTGTCGTCTTTTGAGCTACAAGTTGGCCATCTCGTTCTCGAACGTGGGATTCGGTTGGCATGGACTGCACTGTACATGCCTCTTCTCCATCCTAGCATTTAAAAGAAAATGACAGACCCCTGAAACCTCAACTCAAAATCTGGATGCAAACCTGCTTCAAATTGATTAAATCCTGCACTCAAACCAACCGTGAAGGACAACCCACTCGTGCGACCCCGGCTAGTGCGAGGACACCCGAGGAGCTTGTGTCCCAATGGTTATCGACCGGAGAACTCATAGACAGAGACTTTGCTTTGGATATTGAACAAAGCATACATCACCAAACCAGAAAAAGTGAATAGCACATGGTGTACTTTCCAAACATCTGTAGCAGAGAGCGGGAGTAGGTAAATCATCACCACAACAACCCGTTTAAGGTCTAACACGTTCAGTGGTCACAAACGAAGATATTTCACACACCAAAGTAAAGATGTCCATTCCCAATGGGCAAACTAATCACCCTTGGAGTTCTGTCCCAATTTTCCACCATGGGCAATAGAAGTGCCGTAGACTGCAAAGCACGGATGGAACAAATGCAAGCAGTGACTCGACTTTGAAAAGGCGACAATAGAAGCTGCAGTACGCTCATGCCGCACATAAAACATCTATATACAAGTAACCCGACTACAATTGCAACTAACAAGGCATTCATCTTGGTACGAAATCTTCACTTCAACATTACCGTACCAGAATGGGACAACTAGATTTAAACCAGAACAAATTACACATAAGCAAGAGATGCTATTACAAGATCTTCACGATTAAAGTCGGAACACCATCGCTAAACCGCAAGTTATCTGTTCTACTCAGCAAACAAGTGATGATAACTAAATCAAACTTCATATCAATACGCTGATCGTCCATCACCCTCGACTATCACATCTTTAAAAGCCCCACCACTAGGAATCATGGGCAAGACGTGCTCTTGATGGGGAACAATCACGTCTAGCAAGTATGGCCCAGGAGTTTCCAGCATTTTCTGAATTGCAGCTCTAACATCTGCTTTCTTGGTCACACGAGCAGCAGGTATTCCGCAAGCTTCAGCAAACTTCAACATATCTGGGAATATCTCAGACTCTCTCGACGGATCTCCTAGGTACGTGTGCGCCCTATTGGCCTTGTAGAACCGATCCTCCCATTGGACAACCATGCCCAGGTGCTGATTGTTCAACAGAAGAATTTTGACCGGAAGGTTCTCCACTCTGATAGTAGCCAACTCCTGGATATTCATGATAAAGCTTCCATCTCCATCAATGTCCACAACAACGGCATCAGGCTTTGCAACAGCAGCTCCAATAGCAGCCGGCAACCCAAAACCCATAGCCCCTAATCCTCCGGATGTCAACCACTGCCGAGGTCTCCTATACTTGTAAAACTGTGCAGCCCACATCTGATGTTGCCCGACACCTGTACTGATGATTGCGTTTCCATCGGTCAACTCATCAAGAACCTGAATCGCGTACTGAGGAGGTATGGCATCCCCGAACGTCTTAAAACTTAATGGGTACTTCTGTTTCTGCTCATCAAGCTCCACCCTCCAAGCGGAAAAGTCAAGTTTAAGCTTTGATCCTTTCCCTTCCAACAACCGGTTCATCCCTTGCAAGGCCAATTTCACATCCCCACAAACAGAAACATGAGGCTGCTTGTTCTTTCCAATCTCAGCTGAGTCAATATCAATGTGAACGATCTTAGCTCGGCTAGCAAAAGCTTCCAGCTTGCCCGTCACGCGATCATCAAACCGAACTCCAAAGGCGAGCAACAGATCACTTTTGTCCACTGCATAGTTTGCACATACAGTCCCATGCATCCCAAGCATATGAAGCGACAAATCATCTGTGCAAGGGAACGACCCTAGACCCATCAAAGTACTCGCCACAGGGATCCCCGTAAGTTCTACAAACCTAATCAACTCCTCGCTCGAATTCAAACACCCACCGCCCACATACAAGACTGGCTTCTTTGATTCGGCTATCAACCTCACAATCTGTTCCAGGTGCGCCTCGTGAGGCGGCTTAGGCAACCTCGACGTGTATCCCGACAACCTCAAAGACATGTCCCAGTTTGGAACCGCGAGCTGCTGTTGTATATCCTTAGGTATATCGATGAGAACCGGACCCGGCCTCCCTGAAGTCGCTAAATAGAATGCCTCGCTGACTACCCTCGGTATATCTTCCACGTCAAGAACCAGATAGTTGTGCTTCGTTATAGACCGGGTGACCTCGACGATGGGGGTCTCTTGAAACGCATCCGTACCAATCATTCTTCGGGGCACCTAAAAATCGAATAAAAATCGTTCTTTCGTCAAAACGGGTGGGAAACGAAAGAAATGAAAAGCCGCAGCTTCAAAACTTACCCCCTATAAGTCCAGATCTCAAAAGATACGAGCTAATGGACTAATCAGGCAAAGCTCGCGAGCTATCAAATGAAACAGTGAAGATACGCGCGACTAGAACAGCAGCAAAACAAAGCACGGGTCATGGGTGGAACCTGGCCAGTGATGGCGACAATGGGGATGCTGTCGAGCATGGCGTCGGCGAGGCCGCTGACGAGGTTGGTGGCACCGGGGCCGGAGGTGGCGATGCAGACGCCGGGGAGGCCGGAGGCGCGGGCGTAGCCCTCGGCGGCGAAAATGCCGCCCTGCTCGTGGCGGGGGAGGACGTTCTTGATGACGCTGGAGCGGGTGAGGGCCTGGTGGATCTCCATGGAGGCGCCGCCGGGGTAGGCGAAGACGTTGGTGACGCCCTGCCGCTCCAGGGCCTCCACGAGGACATCGGACCCTTTGCGGGGCTCGTCGGGGGCGAATCGGGAGGCGAAGGCCTCGGGGGAGGGGGGCGGCGGAGGGGCGGTGACGGCGGCGGCGGCGGAGGAGGCCTTGGGGACGGGGTTGGGGAGGGAGCTGGAGATGCGGAGGGGAGGGGAAGAGAAGGAGGGCCTGGCGGGCCTGGAGGGGAAAGGGAAGGACTTGTGGGGGGGAGGTGGAGGAGGGAGAGAGATTTGGAGGAGACGGAGGAGGAGGAGGAGGAGGAGGGAGGAGGAGGAGGTGGTGCCGTTCTGGCGGAGACGGCGGAGAAGCTGCCGGCTGCGGCGGCCGCCATTGTTCTCGTGGAGCTGGTGGTGTTCCGGAGGAGGAAGAGCAACAGAGATGAGGCGGCGAATGGTGACCAATCGGGAGTTCGGTCCCCTTTAAATTTAAATTTCGTGTCCCTGTCCATGCGTACCGTCGCTATTCGTTGAAATTACGCAATTGCCCCCCCCCCCCCCCGGGCTTCGCACAGTGACTGCTAATTATTTGCGCGCGCGCGCGCGCCTCTCTCTCCCTCTCCCTCTCCCTCTGTGTTTCTTCCTCGTTGATCGCCACGAAAGATTTGTCAAAGGGGGAATGGTTTCCTCGAAGTTCCCACTTTTAACTAGATTTTTTTACCGTCTTTGGTCTGGCCCAAGGTCTTCTATCAGTCTACTAATGTTCAGCTCGACATATAAGATGCTCCGAAAAGCGAGACTTAGCTCGTGATCTCGATGCATTATAACGAAACAAAACTGCAGAGCATTCCAAAAGAGAACGCGTTCGAACGCATCATCTGCGAAATGGCGTGGGGCTGGAGACATCTTTCTGTACCCTTTGCTCTGAAAAGGAGAACAGAGAGAGAGAGAGAGAGAGAGAGCTTCAGGGAGAGGAGAAGAACGGTGAAGGCACGTGGGTTCTCAATAGCAAAGAAGCCAATTTCGTCTTTTGCTTTGTTTGGACCAGGAGATGCATGGAAAAATCTTTGCATTCCACAAGAGAACGCGTGCGTGCGAACGCAGCATCATCTGCGAAATGGCGTGGGCTGGAGAGATCTTTCTCTGTACCCTTTGCTCTGATTTAAGAAAAGAACAGAACAGAACAGAACACAGAGAGAGAGAGAGATTCAGGGAGAGGAGAAGAATGGTGAAGGCACGTGGGTGGGGGTTCTCCGTATATTTGATTAAAATAGCTAAAGAAGCCAAGTTCGCCTTTCGCTCGGTTGGACCAGGAAATGGAAATGTCTTTGCCTTCCTTCTCGCCTTGTCTCTGTCTATCGGGGTCCGCTCCCTCCCTCGTTTTGGTTCTTGTTCCATCATTCGACCCGTGAGCGAGCTTGCGAGAGGGCTAACCCAGATTCACCGAATTCCGATTAAAAGTTTCCACTTCTTTTTAAATGTTCAGGGCCCGGATTGGACGGACGTTTGCTGCGCTTCAGGCCGCAGGGTTTCATTTGACAATTCGAAAAAAAATCGTCAAGAAATGATGCAAGAAACGCAAGTTCCGTGTGGAATCGCATCTCTTCGCAACGCCGCCGACCAGAGTCCAAAGACGGGGGTTTTGACTGTCAAAAAAGTATCGGGCTCAAAACTAGTCTGAGGGGAATCAAAGTTCAAGCTAGATTCTTCCAAGGTGGACGGCGAGCTAAGATGGCTTTTTCAACATTCACAGCAGTCCCCACTACTTACCAGAGCCGGAATGCGTGCATTCACTCATCCATGTCGGTCCAATTAGAATGCTCCCCCCCGTCGAATTGGACCCAATCGTGGAGATAAAACGTACCGATGATAAAAATATAAAACGTGCCGCCGTTAAAAAGTACTCAACTGAAACACTTTGTTTTTCTTCAACATGTAGGTGACACAGTTCCTAGAACTTTAAACCATTACACTATCCTTTGCTAACATGCTACTCTCCAAAAAGAAACAAAGATTGCTCCCAACTCGTACTTCCGCAGATATCCCCCAACTTTCTTTCTTACGAGGTCAGCCTGCAGCCAATCATATGAAGTTTTTCCGATCAAAAGACAGAAGAAAGACAATTCCCATGCCGGTCACCTGACCGCCCATGCTTTCAGTATGAGAAACCAGAGAACATGCAAGCAATGTGAGTCTATTGCCGAAAGAAAACACGGTCATAAAGCATCTGTCCCATATGAGCAGCGCACATACTCAACACGTATCCGACACCGAATGGAATAGAAGGTATCGGTTGAATAGGGATAAAAGCCATTTAATAATCCACTTAAAGGCTTCCACAGTTAAAAGTAACAACAGATTTATGTTGCCAGAAAATGAGATAGGATGTTCATATCATCACATTTTCTTAAGTAACCACCAAGAAATCACAGAACTGATTGTGACTATCAATCAAATACTGATTATATACTCAACGGATATAGTATCCTCCTAATTGCAGCATCCAACAATGGGGAAGCAAATAGAGCTGTTCGTTTCAATTTGAAAGAAAACTTATATTTTCATCTTAAAGAATCTCAAACTTGAAATCAAATTAACCATCAATAGTGATCTCTAACAAAACCACATTATCAGTCAATTCTTTAGGGAGCCTTTTGAACCAACGTTACATCAATGCACCAGAAAGCTTCTCAATGGCTACAGAAATTCAAAACACGATCCGCTTTAAATGTGTAAAATGACATTATCTCAACAGCTTAAAAACATGAAATGCAAGTCATATAAGGACTCATTGTCATCATAATATAGATAGCCTTGATCCTATTATAACTCACATGCAACTACTAAAATATAAAGGATGCAATTAAATTTGCAAAAACAATGAAATCATATAAATGTGATGGATGACAACAAACATGTCATGCAGGGAAAAAATAAAAAACAAAAAAGACATAGCTTTTTGTCCTTCAACCCATCACGAGAAGTAAGCCAAACTCAAGGCACAAAACAAAAACAAGACTTCTAAGCAATGTCGCAACAATGTTCGTTTTGATCAATTTAGTACGCAGAAAGTGATTTCAAATTATTCTTTTCTAAAAATGACTACCATTACCATTTGCATGGGAAATGAGAAAACTCCAGATTACTTTGCCAAGATGATAAGTTCTGAGAGGCACAACAAAGAGAGATAACCTTTGTTACCACCTATTCTTTACAGTGTGTGTATGATAATGGCATATTGAACAATCTTGTTTGTCACTAATTCCAGGGGCACATGTAAACACCAGATTCACAACTAATTGCATAGTTTTTGATGCCTAAAGCACAGATAAGAACTGAAATCATTTTGCTCTCAACATGCCAAACAAATAAAAATAAAAACAGAAAAGAAAAGAGCTGATACATTTGCAACTGGATAAAACCATCTCCCTTCTCAGAGCATGCTACTACAATGTGGACATTTCTGAAGATGCATTGAATAGGTAGGTTGATAGATTTACTTGTTATTGATCTTACTAGGAGAAGAAAAGCTTTCAAGTTTCACATTGAATTCAATTATAATTAGATACATGCGCAACCCACACAAAACCTCAGAAGGGAAACTTAAGTTGATATCTAATTGGGACCCTGTCATGGACTCGATGAAGAAAAACTCACAATAACGCGGAAAAGGATTAGCATCAATGACTCCGGCATTCCATAAGGCTAAATCTTTTCCGGTATCATGAGAAAAGGTACATAAAGGGCCATCATGCATTCTATAGGGCAGAGGTAACATTTATTTGTGAAAAACTAGGACTATGAATAGCATGTTTGCTGTATTACGACACATTAGAAGTGAGAACTTCACCAGTAGAAAAATTCTGCCACAATGAAAAGCATGTGATCGGTAACTTCACGGATCGATGAAGGTCAGTAGTTTCAAGGAGGTTAAGAACAACAGAAGAACGGTAATAACTAATAAGTCTGCTTTAAAATAAGAACCCCAATTATCACAATGGTTTTGCAAAGCCGAAAAAAGGCAGCCGAAAGAGGGCTCTCGAAACCGAATCAATCTATTTACAATCCGCAACTGAGTCCTTATGATAGACTCTCAATAACGAATGCATGTCCAATCAATCGGGTCCTTTCCGTCTCTCCCATCTCAAAGGCTCGCTCCGAATCAGTAACAGAGTCGTGCCACATCAAACAATATGCAGACTTCAAAAGTGACAGCATAAACTTCTACAGCAATTCCAAGTCAAGAATCCGTCCCCCTAAAGAACTATACGCAGCTTTTACAAAGAGAATCGGCGGTAGCCAAAGGAAGCACCTTTCTTTCATAAAAAAAAAAGGCACAAGATCTACCTCCGAGATTAAGAATCTAGACAGGAGACAACCAGATAATAAAGAGTCATGGTTGGACATTGGGAGATCTACGAAAGCAAGAAACCCAAAAAAAGATAAAGGCGGGTAGGCAATTAATACCTCCTAACTGGACCCAACGATGATGTTGTTGATGGGGATGAAGATGAGCTTCACGAAAAACCCAACAAAACCCATGACCACAAACCCAATGGCGGTACGGAACGCGACCTTGGTGAACTCTGCAAGGGGAAAGACCGGAACCCAAACCAAATCGATCAAGAAGATCAGGAAGAAGAGGATGGGCAATGGATTCGCATGCACGAAAGGAAGGGACGTGATGAGGGTGGATCACCTTTGCGGTCGGGCTTGTGGCAGCGCTTGACGAGACGGGCGCTGTCCTTGGCGAACTCCCTGAGAGGATCGACGACCGAATCTACGGCATCCATTCTTCCGTTCCCGGCGAGAGAGAGAGAGAGAGAGAGAGATGGAGGAGAAGCGTTTGATGGACGACTTCCAATGTCGGACTTTCTCGAATGGTGTCGTGCGTGGATGTGGTCAAATGCTGTACTACTTGTACACGGGACTCCTCCACCACCCCATATGGGTCGGGTGGATATATTTTCGGGTCCGGTGTGAGACCCGATCCATGATGGATCCAAATCCAGGCAAGAGCTCAATGTACGCGTTAGAGCCCATAAGTTAGGATATAAGCAAGATCATATAAGATGTCATCTTAAGTTTCATCCGGACCTCGAGATTCGTAAGATGTAAAGCAAAGAGAATGTATTCCCTTTTTCCATGAAAAAACTTCGGAATAGAGCGTACGAGTATTAGCACTTCAAAATAAGAAACGTATCTGTGGAATCCGTCGTCACTGCATTGCAAACGAACAGGCCGCAAAGGGCCCTCTCGGAGCTGCTCCCTCTCTTTGATGAGACACCAAGGATCCGATTAGAGCCCCTGATTAAGAGGTAAGAGGTTAGCCATTAGTTCAATGTGATGCTCCAGATCAAACACATCTAATGGCACCAAAGTGATTTATGAGTAACGCCACAACCGTCACTTCAAGTCCTCGTCCGGAGTACTTATGCTCTGGAAGCTCGGCTCATGTAAAACGGGGTCTGTCAATGATTTTTGATCTTGAGATATCGTAAGCACGAGAATAGTTATAAAAAATACAGGTACTGTAGCTCGTCATGAATACTCCTTTTGAGGACCCGACGAGTCAAGTCGATAGATATGATATTATTTTGTGACGTTCAATATTCCACACGAAACGATAGAGATGCTACGAAGCGATTCATAAGTAATGCTCACTCCCAGATGATCACTGCCCGATCGTTCCGAGTACTCTTTTTAACAGTGGGATTTAGGTGTGACGAGTTAAGTTATCACAAAATCTTGTAAGAATCGATAAAGATAATAATATTTTCTTTTGAAAGAAGAAAGTAACTATTCTATGTACCATTTTAATCTAAAAAGTCAGTGTAAATATTTCAAAGATCATATCTACTATCAGTGTGACAACATACTTACATGTGTATCTAGGATTAGTTTTTGTAATGACCTCTTGCATGTGTCAACGGTCCGATCCGCAAATGCATGCCTCATTTCTTACACCGGTAATGGATCCCATAAACATCCGATAGTCAATGATGAGTTCACGTCCTTACACGTTTCCGAAATTACTAATAAATCAATTCTAGAGGGCAGTGTCAACATCTTTGACACACTCGGTGATGAAATGTACCCTAAGTCATGTCATCTTCCGAAACCTACATTCTTCTCTTTCTTAAGAAAAGCATGAACAATATTTCTGTACACCTGTCAAATACCAATTTGCATAGAGAGAGTGATCCGTAACAAAGAGTTGTCATTCGGGGAATACGGAGTAGTCTTGTGGACCAAGTGAACTTCATTTTACTTCTTCAATCAAAACTCCAATTGAAGCGAAATAAAAAGTTCTTGAAATGTCATGAAAACCAAAACTCGACGAGGATCGAAATCATAGCTTCAGTGCGAGAGGTTCGATTCATGCGCTTTAAGCTTATCGAGTATTCTGCGTACGCTACTGCATGAGATTAAAATGTCATTTGTGAAACACATGCAGGGACCAAAACTACAACAGATCACTCCACTATCTTACCACCAAAAGCTACAGTACCAACAATCAAAACCCAGTTTTTGATACTTGGGTAGTAACTCCAAGCAAGAGTTAGCTCAGGCAGCGAGTGCATAAGTGCAAGTTTTTAGTGAATTTGTTCCTAGTCAAGGCTGGTAACAACCTAAGCTTAAGTAGAAAATAAGTGCAGAACAATTAGGCATGTCATAGCATCAATATTGTCACTGCACTGAGTCAGCCATCCACATATTTCGTCAACAGCGTCACGCTTAAATCCACTAGTCATGAGCATCGGTACACAGTTCAACAAGTAACCCTAAGAGATATCAGCAAGGCTAGTCCACCTTCCAGCGAGCTGTGGAGCATATTAACATCTTCCGGTAGGTTTCATCAACTGCACCACAAACATGAAAGAAGTCAATTACCTCACAACTTTGATTGCATCAAGAGAACGTACCTGTTACAGCATATATTCGAAGGTACACTTGAAAAAAGTTTTTGGGTGCCAAGAATCTGGATGTGCATTAACAGAAAAACAATCCAGCCTAAAACTTCGAAAGGTCTCATAGTGCGCAATGAGTTAATATAATGAAACATTTATCCTTCCTGCTGTTGATATTACTGCATGGCAAACTCTTGTTCTGCATGGGCGGGTTGGGGCCAAACAGGGGATGGGAGCATAGGAAATTACAAAGCAGGATCAGGCTAATCAGCTCATACTTTTTCTTTTCAAAAGGTTCTCTATGGGTGAGTTATCTACTGTATTATTACTCCGGAGAGTCCTGGCTAAGACGAAAAATACGACAAATATTTCAGGTTTCCCCACCACGGATCCGAATCACTTAAAATGCTCTATCACAATAATTTTGCAAGTAGCTTTGAGTGGCACTCTTGAGAATATGTTATGCTTCCTACTTCCTAGCTAGAAACAAATGTTCTCAAAGAAGATATAAGCGGCAGTTAATCCTATGGATTCATCAAGTGAGCAGCCCTTCCATAGGTCGAATGCAGAACGACCACTACATAAAAGAAGAATTACAAGCCAGCATAGTATGAACATCACCATAGAATTATTTCTGAAATTGGGGATAAGACTGGGCCAGTCTGACTCACAAGAAACCAGGCTAACACAAACTGAGCTTTTTGTTACCTCACCAAACTGGCCTAAACCCGGATAGTCATACACCTAAGCAAAACTTATAAAACTAGAGATATATATTTACAACATATCATGCATATCAGAGCAAAGTGAAAACCTGTACAGTTCAGCTCAGTTCAGTTCATCTATTCTTTCTTATTGACCTTAGGAAGAACCTATCTGATGCCAATATACGTGCATCAAACCCAGATGATCTTTGATTCGACCAGATTTCACCTAAATTTTAGTTTGGTCGGTTTGATTTAGGCTTTGGTTTTCCTCGAATTTTTTTGGAACCCACGTAGTGGCATCATCTAGAGATTGGAGAATGGTACAACCAAGTTATGGAATGATATATTAGCATACAAGTAATCTATATGATAGACAGGTAAGGGACAGGAACAGGCGGAAATCATAATTCAGGACCACTTGCGACATGGTGTGGTTGAACCGCCACTAGGCTATGGTGGTGTTAGATACATTGGTGCACACAAACTGGACCATTTCAATAGGTTTCATTCAGTTTTTTGGTTCTCTTGGATTTGTGGAAAACCCCTATACTGGTAACATCAAGAGATTGGAAAGTATGTCCAACTTGAGGCATGTAATGCAATGGCACAAGAGCTATTTTTTTTTGGAGATAACTGTGGGTAGATCGCAGGAAAGACTCGAACCTAAGATTTGTTGGGTCTTGAGTCGACCAAATAAGGAGAGATGTACTATTGCATCGAATATAACGACATACGAAAAAAGGGCAATCTTTTGAAGATGCTAGTTCAACGAAATGTAAGTACATGGAGAGAATAGGAAAAGACAGTGTGTACACTCAGCCTCCACATAATATTTGTCCAGTTGACCACACAAAACCAAGGAAAATGTTCCCACTTTTTCAGCTTTAAGTTTGCACAGCAAGTTAGAAAATAAAAGTACAAGCTACAAGCCTCCACCAAAAAGCCTCCACGCATTTGACACCACAATGTCATCAAGAAATCCAAAAGAGAAAAAGAGCCAGACTATCTGCCCAAAACTGATGCTGACTTTCTTTTAGTGATTAATCTTGGACAACTTTTCACAATTTTATGTTTTGAGTTGCAAGGCAAGGATAACGACTAAAACATATGGACTAGAAAGTCCTGACCAAAAAGCCACCACATACTCTGCAAGGAAAATATCATTACAAGATAGATTGTCTATGCTGAAAAGAAAACTAAATTCAGAAGCCTTTATTACTAAGTACAGACTGAAATGCCAGTATTTGTTGGGCACCATGCCAGTGTAAAAGTTGCAAGCGAGAATCCAAACAAATAGGAGACTACACAACCAGCGATGTTGCAAAAAGTTGTGAGAAGTTCCTTCTTTGATACTTGAAAATCACCAACTAGATTTTAAATCAAAGACGAGCAGCGAAAGCAATGGACATCACACCACCCGATATTCTCTCTGCTCTCTAGTCCCTACAGAGATGTCCACTTGTCTCCGTTACTAGTTACATTTATCCCATACACCATTTTCTTGCATCAAACTACAATAATATCCTGCAAGAGATACTGTGTCACTGCAAGCTAATTACAGTCAAGGGAGCCGAGAGTCTTGACAGGCATACTAAAAGGTTGCAAAGCTGTAGTCTACTACAATAGACAGTGACATTGATCTTAAAAAAAGTCATGAATTCCAAAAGTGCCTATTACAAAAACTGCAGAAACCTTTTTCTTAACCTCCAATATTGGACACAGTTAACGAACATACATCACAGAACCGAATAAAGAATCGAAAAGGCCTACAGAAAATTCTCACTAAGAAACCCAGCTTGGTGCGTGTGCCAGCAATAGAATCAGTTTTTCATTTACGCTAAATCAGGAATGAATCTGCCCCTTAAACATTTAAAGTCATCTTCCTACTTTTATTTGAATTGTGTCGTTTTCCTTCATGCTGATGATAACTTATTCTGCAGCAGCTTCAAGATATTCTGCTTTCTAAGAGTCTTTGAAACAAGTAAAAAGAAAAACTAACCATCTCCTCATAGAGCCGACAAGAATACAAGGTCAGATTGGAGGGAAGATAAAGGTCAACACGTTATGTCTGTCAAACTGAAAACTTCGAAAATATTTTTTGTCACATTCCTTGGCTCAGTTATATGTGCTCACATTAGCAAACGAAACGGAACAGGTCATTCTAGCAGCCATTATTCATCAACCACGGTCAGCAATTGATGCACCAATGGCTAGAGCTTAACCAAACCTAGCCTGACAAGAAGTTACACGCGAGTCCAACAATTTATGCACATCATGCTGTGAGTATAGACCAGGCTCCGGCAATTTAGCACACTAAAAGGACAAGAATGCCTTCCCAAAGTAAGGAACACAAATTGCAAGCAAACCTAGCAAGCTGCAAACTCTTTATGGGGAAACAGTCACTAAGTTCAGCTCTGAAAAATCCGTAAAAAGCTACTGTACTTAATCAGCATCCACGAAGAGGAAACATTCCCTCAAAATGCATTCTTACAGTAAAGACGTATCTAACGAAAATGCATGCGAAGATATAGTTCGTAAATCCAGTAGAAACAACAGAAAAACAAAAACCCATTGGAAGCATACACAGTTGAGGTCAGTTTCAAAATGACATATAAAACTATAGTCCAATTGCGCGGGTGAGCAACATTACCCTTGTCCATCAGGATTGCCCTGGCCATAGGAGCCATCATCGGCGGCCGCATTCTGCCACACGCTCTGCCACGCCTGAGAAGGCGGAGGCGGAGGCTGCTGCATATAAACCGCTCCCGGCGCAGCCGGCTGGCCCATAGGCGGATAGTAGTAGGGCACGCCACTGGCAGGGGGACCCACCACGGGGGCGCCGAGGGCGCCGCCCATGGCTTCCTCCTTGATCTCGTCGCGGGGCACGATATCGACCAAGAAGTCGAAGATGTCGGTCCTGGTGATGGCGGCGGCAATGTCGTTCTTCTGGAGGGTCCGGCGCTTGTTCTCCTCGGCGTGGAGCCAAGATCGGATGGTGAGCTCGAGGATGAAGAGCTCGCAGGCCTTGGCGAAGAGGATGGGGGCCTCGGCGGAGATCATGCGGACGTCCTCGTCGGCTTTCATAATCTTCTTGATGCGGGCCAGGGGGAGCTGGTGGTTCTTGAAGTCGTTCACCTGCTCGATCTCCTGCCGCTGGTACGACCAGAACATCTGGAGCTGCTGCTGCTGCTGCTGCATCAGGTGGTTGAACGGCGGCCCCGGCTGGGGGAGGTACGGCGGCTGCTGCTGGGGCTGCTGGTTCGGGTCCATCCGGCGACCAAAGTCCTCGACTTTCCACCGAATCCCTTGATGGGTCCGAGGAAAGACTCGCAAAGGCGGCTCCTTGGCCGGAGAATGCGCGAGTTCAGGGAGATGAAGAAGATGAAGGAAGGAAGGAAGGAAGGGTCGCGAAATGGATGGATCGGAAATGGAGGGCGCAGATAGGATTAGCTGCGAATGCAGCGGCGCATGGCTTTTCTTGATTTTTATATAACCCTGCTCAAGACAAGGAGACAAGAATCGATTCCACGCACGCTCCTCGCACATTTCACACAAAAAACGCAAGAAAGCGTGATCACGGTCTTATGCTGAAATGTGAATAAAGCCATGCTGTTTTTGGTCGGATATTTTGTTGTTGTTCTGGTCTTCTGGTCCATAGAGCACAATTTCCAATATCTCCCGTACGGCTGTAGCTTTTTCCTTATATGCTTTTTTCATGTGTGGTTCATTCGTCTTGTGATTTGGTCTACTTTTGCCAGTGGATTGATCATAATAGTTCGCAAAACAAGAGAACACTCGAATGTCTTTCCCATGACGCTCTTATCATTTCGTTCACACAAAACATTATCCAAATATTCTCTAATGTTGCAAACTAAATAAATGTTTTGAATTCGTTTTGAAATTTGGAAATCGGCATAAGATTTTATCGATCGTATGCTTTACATTTAGTAGAACTCCAGAATCTTTGCCTCGAGGCTACCCAAGCTAAAACATGAAATACGGTGTTTTTGATTTTTATCGCGAAGAACTCCAAAATTTCATGAAATTGTGAGTAGGGTCTCGGCAAAAGCACCGAATTTTCATCAGCCATCCCGTACATGCCAATGCATCATACATCGAGTGTAGAGGGCTATGAAAATTATTAATATTTATGAATGTAATGAAATCCAATCCACCATTCATCACTTGACAAAGTAACAGAGAAATCAATCATGCTCATAATAAAGATCTTAGACATATGATAGAAAAATGTACAGAAAAGTTTAAGCCGGGTCATACAGATTTGGCCAACTTTGTAATCCTTGTATCACTAAGATAGCTTTAATGAGGAGATTCGGACATAACCGTCAGAAAAGCAACTGTGAGCTAATCCTAGTAAAAAAAATCAGATTATCCGCAAAGTTACCTACAATGCTGAGATTAGTCTTTTGAAGATCTTTGACCTTGACCTAAATGAAGAATGTTTATCTATCCATAATTGCCGATCGAATCTGCAGATTTACTACTAACTATGGATATCGGACGGCTATATGAACAACCGCTGAAAAGAAGACTTACTCGGTCCGAATGGTAGTGTCTCAGTGCTTTCCTTCTCCTTCTCGTCTCCTCAATTTGAAAACTACATGTCGGAAGCATTCAAAAGGATGGCCAAATTCTTCATCACTGTTTTCCCTTAAGCCTGCATCTGTATAAAAGCTACGCTTTCATCCCCTTTACCGCAACATTGGCCTCCTCGTCCATCTTGGCATCCATTTCTTTTTCATCCATTCTTTTGCCAATTTCTGAAAGTTATTTTTCCTTGCAAACAATCCTTGATTTTATCAACAGTGCCCTCCATTTCTCCTTCCAGAACTTGGGTTACCACTTGACGAAGCTCCAAAGTTGTGGATGTAGGATCAAGTTCCCAGCATCAAATAGGAGCATTTGCAACACCTTGACGTGTAAGCAAGTGTGCTGGGACCTGATGAGAGAATCTAAGCAATTTGTCTCTTGGAATTGTATATAATTTAATTGGATCTGGATGCTTTTGAAGCACAGTCTTCAAGCCACAAACTTTGGTGAGTGGAGCAACGGTTACACCATGATCCTTGTTGCAATCTTCAACGAAACCTCTGTTCGATTGTTGTTGAAATCATGAAAAGATGGGTCTGCAACAAGCATTTGCTTGAAGACAGAGTTCTCCGCTTCAAATTCAAGGTTAGAAATGACATGGAAAGTCTTTTTGATGAGAACTCTGTCTTTACCGTCCACAGACTTCTTATGCTTAACTGCAGCAATCTTTGCACCGTTTGCAGGAGCTTTCTCCTCTTCGCTGTACTTCTGCTTGACCTTCCCTTCCAAAGAATTTAGTCCATCTGTAAGTTCTTTCTCACTACTCCACTCATGAAGCTTCTTTAAAATTTTCTTCTTTGCTTTATCTATCAACATCCTTCGTGATTATGTAAGAGATTGTTTCCCCAACTATTGATCTGATTGATCACTTCGAAATTAACCCTTCTCCTATCCTCAGTTGGCCCTTTCGGGATCCTCTACAATTTGCAAATGCCGCTTGGCTAGCATCCTCTGTGATTTTCTTATTCATGCCACCTTTACCAACCTGCCCTTTTTTAATCCCGTTCTAGGGAATTGACATAAGAAGACATGTCCACTAAACCACTACGAGCTTTTTTAGACGTTTGAATCCTCTCTGAGCATTTCTCTTTGACTGCAGCTGCCTCCTCATGGCCCCTCTTCCAATGCCGAACTACAGGCTCAAGCACGCCTGAGGGAGGAGAATATGATGCTGGCGCGGGGGCAGCTTTATCACTCAGCAAATTTGGTTAATGTGCCATATGAAGAAGTAAGCTTTTTCCGGCAAATGCATACCAGAGAAGGTTGTTGAACTTGCATTGGTGGGAGAAGTCTGCCTTCCAACTAATGTTCTATTAGGATATGTTTGTGCTTCGGAGAAAGCCTTTGGATTAGATGAACTATTGCCATCAATGTTGGAGTTGGCGAATACTTCGGGACCCTTGTTTCTCACACCGGGTACGCCCACGTGAGCTTAGGGAAACTAAAGTGTTATCCGACGACATGTGACCCCTGCGTGCGGAATGCGGGGGTTCGGGGGCAGCGCCCCCGACACGGGTGTCCCGCTGCCCGGTCAGCGGGCGGGGGTTCGGGGGCAGCGCCCCCCGACGGGGGTTCCGCTCGCCGGTGAGCGAGCGGGGGCTCGGGGGCAGCGCCCCCGAAACCTCAACGGGTTTGGGCTTTTATTTAAGCTGGCCCGTATGGTGCGAGATTAAGAGATTTCGTATAGGTTTAGGTTTTGGGCCCATTTGTGGCACATATATATTTTGCTCGTTTTTCTGATCATTGTAACGAGTTGAGTGGCTGTAAACCGAAAATATAGTGAAATCTCTTTGCAGGACGTAGCTCTATTCGAGGGTGAACCTGGGTAAATTCGTGCATCGTCTATTTTCTCTGTTTTCTGCGTGATCGTTCTGTTTCGGTTCTCGATACATCCCTTCAATCAATTGGTGGAGGTGGAATCTCAACAGCAACATAAGGTTTACGGCAGCTAGGTTTGCGGTAACGAAGTCGCTTGTTTAATTAGCAGATTAAGTATTCAAACTTCATTTGGCAAGCACTGCATTGTGTCCAAATGACGTCTTGCTAGGAGCACAATTGACATCAGCCGCACTCTTACCATCCCTAGTGTTGAAATCTTTATTGCATTCCATCTCTCGGGGGTTTGGTTGATCCCTGCTCTAGACACTGCACTGTGTCCAAATGATGTCTTGCTAGGAGCACAATTGACATCAGCCGCACTCTTACGATCCCTAGTGTTGAAATCTTTATTGCATTCCATCTCTCGGGGGTTTGGTTGATCCCTACTCTAAATACCGCTGAATCTTCTTTCCTTATGTATACCTCTATGTTACAATGAGTTTACGGCAGTTGGGACTACAACAAGGAAGTTGCTGCTTGAAACTTCTTTTGGCAAGTATTGCTCTGTCCAGAATGACCTCTTGATAGGAAGAGGAGAGGCTGCAGCACAATTGACATCAGCCGCACTCTTGCGATCGCAAGTGTTCAAAGCTGCGGCGTTGCTTGTTTACTTAGCAGACTAAGTATTCAAACTTTATTTGGCAAGTACTGCTATGTGTCCAAAATGACCTCTTGATAGGAAGAGGAGGAGCTGCAGCACAATTGACATCAGCCGCACACTTACGATGGCGAGTGTTGAAATCCTGATTGCATTTCATATCTTAGGGATTTGGTCGATCCTTGCTCTTGATATTGCTGATACTTCTTTCCTTATGTAATACCTCCTTTGTAAAGTCAAAACAACTTAATGTCAAAACAATACAATTGGCAAAAAAATCTGATACGCATTTGTAATTATTCTAACATGATAGATTTGCTTCTTTAACGCATTTATATTACATATAATGGAACATGTAAGTCGCCAGACAAAATACAACCGAATTATATCTAAATGACCAAATATGATACGATCCAATGAAGTAAATCCATGTGTACACACGAAGAACTTATATAAAAAAAGAACGTGACGGTCATAATAAAGTAGGGCAACTGTTATTAACAAATTATAGTTCCATCTGATAAGAAAGAAAGATTAAAAGAGAATGGTATTTATTCTCTTATAATGGTATTGGAAACAATGTACATGAGAAGCCTTTATATAGGCTTAGAGGAGTAAAGGAGCCTAGCATTCTTCTTATGTGGGACCAAAGAGAAAGAAGAGATGTAAAGGAAAACCTACAAAACTATACAACATATTCGAACACCCCCCCTCAAACTCAAGGTGGATCAAATAACGAGAGTTTGGAAAGAAGAAATTTAAATCGTTGTGATGTAAGAGCCTTCGTAAAACAATCGGCAAGTTGATTCTCAGTTCCAACAAAAGGAAGTGAAATAGTGCGAGCTTGGAGATGATGACGAGTCAGATGACAATCGATCTCAATATGTTTGGTACGCTCATGAAAGACTGAATTTGCACCTAAATGAATGGCACTCTTGTTGTCACAATGCAGAGGAGTAGGATCTAGAAGTGAAACTCCCATATCAGCAAGTAAGCGGCGAAGCCAAACAATCTCAACAGTAGTGTCGGCCACAGCACGATACTCGGACTCTGTAGAGGAGCGTGAGACAATATGCTGTTTGCACGATACTCGGACTCTGTAGAGGAGCGTGAGACAATATGTTGTTTCTTGGAACGCCAAGAAATAAGTGAATTGCCAAGAAAAATGCAATAACCAGTGATAGATTTGCGATTAGTGACATTGAAAGCCCAATCAGCATCAGAATAGGCACGCAACTTGAGAGCAGAAGAGGATGGTAGAAATAAGGAACGCGATAAAGTGCCTCGAAGATAGCGCAGAATCCTTAGAACAGCCGCATAATGAGTTGTTCGAGGAGCAGCAACAAACTGACTGACAACATGAACAGCATAGACGATGTCGGGTCGGGAGATAGTAAGATAAATAAGACTGCCAACCAAGGTCCGATAGCGGGTGACATCAGAAAGAGGTTCTCCATCGTCTGGGCAAAACTTTTGATTTAGCTCAATAGGAGTGGCAGCAGTACGTGAATCTGATAGAGCAGCCCTGGACAGAATATTAGCGGTATATTTCTGCTGAGAAATGAGAATACCACGTGAACTGCGAGCAATCTCAAGCCCAAGAAAATAGCGCAGTGATCCTAGATGCTTCATGGCAAAATGTTGCTGAAGGTGCCGCTTGGTATGCTCAATATGGTCACGATCATCTCCGGTGATGACCATATCATCAACATAAAGAAGAAGAATAGTGCAGCCTGAAGAAGAGGTATGAACAAACATAGCATGATCAGCCTCACTTTGAATGAAACCAACAGACTGAATAGCATCACTGAACTTCTCAAACCAAGCACGAGGGGCCTGTTTGAGACCATAAAGAGCCCGTCGCAAGCGGCAAACCTGTCCAGAGGTATGAGCAAGACCAGGCGGAGGTTGCATAAAGATATCTTCCTGAAGATCACCGTGAAGAAAATCATTCTTCACATCAAGCTGAAAGAGAGGCCAACTGCGAATTGAAGCAACAGCTAATAAAGCACGGATAGATGTCATCTTTGCTACGGGAGCAAAGGTCTCCTCATAGTCGATACCATACTCTTGCGAGAAACCTCGAGCAACCAGACGAGCTTTGTAACGCTCAATACTGCCATCAGAACGAGTCTTAATCTTATATATCCATCGGCAAGATACGAGGGAGCGACCTGGAGGAAGAGGCACAAGCTCCCAAGTACCAGTAGTCTCCAAAGCCGAGAGTTCCTCAGACATAGCCTGGCGCCATTCTACATGCTGAACTGCCTCGCGATAACTATTAGGTTCTTGTACAGCATGAACAACAGCAAAAAAGGATCCAAACTCAGTAGAATAAGAAGTAGCAGCAACATACTGGGCAGGTGGACGCCGATCTCGAGGAGGATTACGGCGTGGCTCTAGTTGTGCAGAATGGTCGAGGGCAGATACAGCACGAGGTGCAGCACAAGGGATATGTGAAGATGGAGAAGGTGGCAATATATCTAGATCCGATGTAGAAGAGGGACTAGAAGGATCAGGTAGAGGATCAACAGGAAAATCCATAAATGGAACGGGAGACAAAACATGAGGTGTAGTATTTGTTGAAAAGAAAGGGATGTGTTCATGAAACGTAACATCACGAGAAATACGTACACGTCGCGCATTTGGGTCATAACAACGATAACCTTTGTGCTCAGTGCTGTAACCCAAGAATGCACATGGGATAGAGCGGGCGGTAAGCTTTGTACGTTCAGTGAGTGGAAGAATGACAAAACAAGTACATCCAAAAACTCGAAGATGATTATAGCTAGGAGGTCGAGAGTAGAGGCGCTGAAACGGGGTGTCTTGATGGAGAACAGATGAGGGTAGATGATTAATTAGATGAACAGCCGTGAGAAGAGCCTCAGCCCAGAACTCAGTGGGAACGGATGTGCCAAGTAAGAGAGCTCGAGTGGTCTCTAGAATATGACGGTGCTTGCGTTCAGCAACTCCATTTTGAGCTGGAACCCCAGGACAAGATAACTGAGGAAGTGTACCATCACTAGCTAAGAGGGAACGAAAGACACCAGAGAGATATTCTCCCCCTGAATCTGAACGGAAAACTTTGATTTTTGTATTAAATTGTGTGGAAACCATGGAAGTAAAAGACTGATAGATGGTAAAGAAATCACTATGTTGACGCATAAGATAGACCCATGTATAACGAGAATAATCATCAATAAAAGATACATAATATTTGAAACTATTCTTGGAAGAGAGCGGGGCAGGACCCCAAACATCAGAATGAACAAGATCGAAGATCGCACTAGTTCTAGAGTTACTAACAGGAAAATGCTTAGTAGATTGCTTGGCCAAAGGGCAGATAGAACATGAAGGAAGACTACCAGAAGAAATAGGACCCAAAGCACCTTGTTGGTGAAGGACGGTGAGACGAGAAGACGGAATATGTCCAAGACTCTGATGCCACCGAACAAGATCGAGGGTAGCCAACACAGGATAAGGAAGAGAGGAAGTTGGAAGATGGAGATGTTGCATAATATAAAGTCCATCCCGTCTACTGCCCTTGCCAATCATCTTGCCACTCAAACGATCCTGCACAAAGCAAGAGCTATTTGTAAAGCTTATAGTACATCCAGCATCGGTGAGTTGTCCAACAAATAATAAATTGAGAGCCAAAGAAGGAACATGTAACACATCAGGGACATTGAAATCTTCAGAGACGGTAAGAGTACCCTGTCGGGTAGCTAGTAGAGGAGAACCATTAG